TATATGCGCATTTGGTTTTCTGGTTTCAGCCGGTTGCTTTGGTTTTTGCGCTTGTACTGGTATCGTGCTGCTGGGTGCGAGGAGAGTGACGATAGGGTAGAGAGCTCCTCCACTGTATTGCATATAGCTGATCCCTACGGACAGTTAAGTAAGACGAAACCATGTGTCTCAAAAAAAGGGCTAGAGAATGTAGCAGGCTAAGCTGTACTTGAATACTTACTACTACACCAATTATATGCAAGAAAGAATTAGTAAAAATCGACAGTTCATTGGCCTGCTCGAATACTTTAAAATATTGCAGGGTGTCGTTGGCTTGATACAAGAAGGCGCAGTATTGTGTGCCTGTATAGTACAATAAAAACTAGGTCTAGGAAGTTGTGAATACTCGGAATGCCTATAGGGACGGCAACGCATACCTTACCTGTCCTTCTTGCCTGATGTCGGGAACTTTGGTGGCAAGGGCAAGCAGGGAAGGGAGCTATCCTGGAGGTTGCTTTACAAGCCTGTGTCAAATTCGCATTGAGTCTGGAGTGAAGTTTCGTCCTGAGGAGACCAAACATTAAACACTATAAACTGGTTGGGTTGGTTCTTTCTATAGTCCGTATGTTCTAGATCAGGTTCGGCGCAAAAAAAATATGAAAGAATTTTTTCCTGGGCACTGTTTTAATATGTGCGACTGTGTGAATATGCTCCTACTGCTCAAAGGGTACAGATACTTCCGTCGGCATCGGCGTCTCGTCAAGCCAAGATCCTACCAGGTAAGTGCAAGGATAGAACCAGACCAGTTCTTGATGTTATGTACTGAGAGGCCTACTGACTGTCATCTTCTCACGCTTTATTATTGTTTTATGATTAAGGATCCTTTTATGGAGACCAGGAAAGGAAACTGGCATGCCTATGAGTGCATAAGCATGCAGAGTCGATTTTTCATGTCGGGAACTATCCCTACCCTACAGCCAGGAGGAAGCACGAGCAATTACACCAATGAGTGCGTGTTTAACTAAATTTTAGGTAGATGCTGCTGTTGTAGTCAAAGCTGTCATGTTACGTGGTCCTTGGTTCTTTCGGGCATTAAACTACCCACTACGCGAGAGGATACAGAGCATTTTCTTCTTTTGCAGCCACCGCTGGAACGAAACAGCCAAAGCACGGGAATATAAATACCGTTAAGACGCTGTCACACTGACGCATCGTGTCTAGCGGTAGCCGCTGGCGTATGGCTGCTCTTACTGCGATAAGGACCTGCTAGGCTGGGCGCTCCTCTGGCTGACCGCAGGGCGCGTAGGGGCAGGAGAGCCTCTGACATTCCACAGCCGGGACGCAGTTCTCCTAATTTTGAGATTTTCAAGTTCTTAGTGGATGTTCTTTTGATTTGACTGTACCTATTTGTACACAAATGAAGCTCTCTGCCATTCCTGCTGTGGCGGCGCTGCTGGCGCTTGCCATGCCGAAGGACGGGGTCACTTTTGGTAAGCTGCAGGTGCCCTGTGTAGCTGACATTCCCTATGCTTTCCAGTCATTAAATCTCTTATGAGAACCCATTGCTTATGTTCTATCTGCATCGAGCCTTCTGGGTGTTGTATTCGCAGGTGCTGCGGGAGTAGCGGTGTGTAGGGAATTCGATGCACGAGCCTGAACCAGCAATTAATATGCATTTTGCCTTTTATTTCACTTACTAAGGGAGTATTACTCATTTATCATTATTAGTTTTTAATGCTCTGTATTCGGTGACCCAAGTTTCCGATACCTCTACAGTATCCTAATCGAGCATACACGAAGGTGCTAGCTCCCAGAATGAAAGTTGGTACGCCTTTACACTGTGTTGTGCATGTTCCACTACAGAATTACGCTCCACCTACCGTACTTCAACGGGTTCTGGATGCTACATGGCTACGGCGGTTTTTGGACAAATGTAATAAGAACCCGCACTTTTGTGTGGAGGCCGTGGCGCGGTAGGATCGGGGTACAGAAAGGCAACAGACAGCGGAGTGGCGTTGCTATTTCGTGGAAGAACTGGAATTCTTCATGAAAGGTAAAGGGTGCGCAGATGCATACGGGAATCCTCTAGAACGCATGGGCACAGTAAACGGCGATTCAATTGAACACATCACTGATCAGAAGATTGAGAAGGAGCTCAAAACCCTCTCGGGAGGTTTTTGCAAAATCCACTTAGGTCCCACACTCAGTCAAATTTAGAGACTAGAAGGGACGCGTGTGCTGAATCGCTTTAAATGTCTAGCTCTGGGAACATTTTTGCCTTGCAGTGAGTTGTATACCCATGTATGATTCGTAGAATCGATAAGCAGTCTGGATGTCGCCTTCTGGGTGCGCGGTCCTTGCAGTTGGTGCTTTAAATATCATGGTGATATTGCTGGTACTCCGGCTGCTACAAGGGCTGCTTGGCCAATGATTGCTTTGCGTTTGCTGTGCATCTCAGGAGCAGACCCGTCAATCCTGACTTGAGTCATTGCTGCGCTTTTCGGCGTCCGCTGGTAAAGCACATGTGAATGAAGCGGTGTGTTCGCAAGAACCCTGGGTTTGTCATTGGACTAGGTTTGGGGATAGCGGAAAGGATGTGCTTTCCTGACGATGTAGCGCAGCCCTTCTATGAACGGCCGAGGAGGCACCCCCGCCAATGTCGTATAGCTCACACACAGCCTACTGATTTATTACTGCAGCCATGGCAAGCTTACAAGCGAGGCTACTACACATAATTTCATGTGTGCAGAAGTGCAGCATACTCGTTCCCGTAGCCTCGCAGCTCGACGCCTTCGAGGAAGCGGCGCAAGCTGCCTTTAATTTGAAGCAAGGGATAAATGTAGCCCTCATTTCACAGCGCTGACTTTTTACAATTTTACGCACATACTATCGGTGCAATGCAGCTCTTGCATCAAGCACAGTGCAGCGGCAAAAAGCAGCTGATATAGCAACATGCACAATTGCATGAGCCCACAGGCAGTTTATGGCACTCTCCTTTTATTTCCCGCGTCGCCCGTATTACACCCGCTGTCGCCGTTGTACGGCACGACTACACTGCTCACGCCCTTCTGGGTCTATTTGTTCTCATGTTGGATAATGAGTCTTCCACTTTAAAGCGGAACTGTAACGCTTCGTCCATTATCTTAGTGGGTTGCTTTAGTGTCAGATCCAGTATAATTTTAGTCGAGATACTGCATGTTTCAAAAAGGATTCTCCCTTCCGTTCCGCTTTCCAAGTTCCCAATGCAGGGGCAGCGCGACAGGAGGAGTGCGCGTTGATAGACCCTTGTTTCGCGTAGAGGATTCACAGCTACCCTCACAATTCATCTAGTGCATGCGGACAACACTGCATCCATTTTTACGAGGCTGAAACTTCCCCCCAATGATTGAGACATGTGCGAATCGAACCAGTCTCTGATAGTTCCTAATTTATGGCAACTACTGAAGTAGGAAAGGCCCAAGTGTTGCTTGGCTCGCTGCGACGAGGGCTCCTGGTGTGTCATGCTAGTGCGGCAGAAAGCACGGCGTCCATCCATGCCACGGCTCAAGAAGTTTGTGCATATCAATGCATGCGCTTGTGGGCATTGTCGCTATTTCAGACGGTCTGTATAGCTGCTCGTATTTCAGTGTTGGAAACTGAATTCCGCCGCGCAGGTTAGATGCGAGCAGAGCTAGAAGAGAAACTCTTTTGAAAATTCGAGTGGTGGATAAAAGGAAGGACAACAGGCTTAACAGATGAACTTAGTATGACTGGCTGCAGAGGAAGGAGCAGGTATGCAAGGAAATGATTTCCACTATTAGCTTTAGGGGTGTGCGGAGGTCTGTTTTAAGGGGAATGTGAACGGGCGCACGTGCCGTAACTGCACTGCCGCAGGCCTTCATCGTTGGATTGCGAGCAGACTTTTTGCTTCTGATGGAGAACAGGAATTCGATTCGTCCGTGCTGTTATTTTTGGCGTGGTATATACTAATGTATAAACGCGTGCCTACTAGTGACTGCCGTTTCATGCGTATTGGTTGAATCAAAGGGGCCATATTTTGTTGCCTACGGCGTTCAAGGGGCCTAAAAGGCTCAAGTAACATGCGTCTATGTTTTCTAGTTCGGAAACGGTGATTGGGGTAGTGTCTGGGCTTTGATTCAAGGCAAGCTAAGGAAGAGGCCATGGACTAGTCTGTATATACCTGAAAGGAAAAATGAGTGGAACATGCACCAATGAACCACAATGCGATATCCTTTTTCCCATGAAAGCTGGAGGTGAGGCCCTCTTGGGTGTACCGCACGAATGAGAGACAGGTGCCCCGGCCAGCATGCAGCGTCTCGGGGGGATGGTAGAAGCAACACATCTGGGTCTACTGTTCCAGAGACAAAGCAGTGAAGGAAGATTCCCTCTTTTCCTGTTGTTATATTACTAATGTTGTGTGCGGGGCATCGGCTAACCATTTTAGTCGCTTTTGGCCCCGCAGTGGGGGCGACCCCAGAGAGCGCGCTGACGACGCGTAGCCAGGCAGACGAGCCTGTTCCAGTGTTTGTTGTTTTGAGCCATAACAGGCAAGGACTAGTAATTTAATAAAGATGCCACAGATCCTGCAGCTGCTAGTATGGGCTGTTGCGGGACTCAAGGCAGTTGACGCCTACTTGGCATCCCCTCAGGGGTCCAGCTCTACTAGTGTCTTTTTCAATCCTGAGGGGCCTTCTGCTCATTTTTTTGTCCAAGGGAGGAGGACTGCGTCTAGTGTGCGTACATTTCAACCTAATACGGCGCACACTGCCAGCTCTCGCCTTCAGAATAACCTGCTAACAACGACGCAGCTCGGCTCAAGGCGTGTGTCTCCGCTTCCGGCGATCCTATCACCTTTCTCTCCTTCTTCAACGCAGAACACCCGTCTTCCTCCTCTATGGGGGGCTTCTTCTGCCCCCAGCGAAGCAGAACCACAATCACCAACAGCGCGGCAGCCCGGCGTCAATGCTATTGGGGATGGCGGCGCTGGTTCCTTCGGTCTCCATGGGGCTGGTCCCGGTGGCTTAGTGCCCGGGGGCATCAGGGGTAATCTTCGTAACCGGCGTGAGAGTGTGTCTCCTACAGTAGCACAGATGTTGTATGAGGACATGTTGCTGGGCCGATACTTGGAGGACGCCTGTGCTCGCTTATATTATCGCGGCAAAACAGCGGGTTTTGTGCACCTGTATACTGGGCAGGAGGCAGTGAGTACTGGGGTTCTGAAGCTGCTGCGGAAAGATGACGCAGTGGCCTCTACATACAGGGATCATGTACATGCAACTAGCAAAGGAGTGCCTCCCCGAGAGGTGTTTGCTGAACTCTTCGGGAAAAAAACTGGTTGCTCCCGGGGCTTTGGCGGCTCGATGCACATGTTCTCTAAGGAGTGGAACCTTTACGGCGGCTTCGCCTTCATCGGAGAGCAAATACCAATTGCTTTGGGTGTGGCATTCAGTCAGCTGTACCGGCGGCTTGCTCAGAGGGAGCTTCCTGGCGAAAAGGATCAGGTGAGCAGGTACACAGAAGATGCATACCCATCAGTGGCATGATTATTGCTTTCCAAAAATTGATAAGAAGCAGCTGGATGAATTGCGGGAAACACAGGAGCGCGAGAGCCAGCGCAATACAAATATTACAGCGGACGAGTATATGGACGATCCGCTTAAATCCGTATCCACCTAGTGTCTCCATACCTTTCGTTCCCAGATATATGCTATGCACAATGTAGATGCTCTTTCGCTGTACTCAAGAAGCCATACCACGTCGCAATGCACCAGTGCTGACCGGCCCGTGCATCGTCGTGCTGGGGCCTCCGTTTGCGTGTGATGTGGCATCGGGCTATTTGTAGGGCCCTTGTGTTTATAAGATCTCGTTAATTCCATTTGCTTAGGCGGAATGGCTGCTTACATTCTCCTTTTGTCTTGATTTCTACTACTTCACCTGCTCACGGCCTATTCACGGTTTTTGAGAGACTTGGCCTGTACATGAGGCCTATTTTTGTTGCAGGTAACGGTTTGCTTTATGGGAGATGGAACGACAAACATGGGACAGTTCTACGAAGCTATGAACATGGCGTCCCTTATGAAGCTCCCTATAGTCTTTGTGGTCGAGAACAACAACTGGTAAGCAGGGATTCATGCAGTTGTATAACGCGTGGTTGAATAAGCGTCTGCTAGATACGTGTGCTGGACCACGCATTTGTCCACTATGGTACTACAGTATGTGTATATGTGCATCTGCGCGAAATTGCACTACAATCGACAAACACGCGCGTATCTATACAGCCGCATTTATCCTATGTAAAGGAATCGCATAAGCGCATACGTTCTGCTAACTAATGTTGTCGCACTAGAAAAGAACTTACATGTCAACAGGTGTAAACATTGACACTTTCAAGTTTCGGTTATGAGAAAACGCCAATTAATGCACACATTGATGTATAAGTATCCCAGTCGTGTTCCACAGAACATCGATAGAGTACACTCTACTCTTGATTGTTACGATGTGTCTGTCAAGTTGTCCGCATCGGTTGTGCTGTTTGCCAACCATCTGGATTCCAAGATGGATCTTGATGTTGTCTGTCTCTTACAGGGCTATTGGTATGGCGGCTCAGCGCAGCACAGCAGTGCAGGAGATTCACTTAAGGGGGCCCCCTTTCGGGGTCCCCAGCATCGAAGTGGACGGAATGGACGTCCTGGCCGTCCGTGCCGCTGCCCGACAGGCAATTGATAGAGCACGAAATGGGGAGGGACCCTCTCTCATAGAGGCGCTAACATACCGATTTAGGTATGTGATGCAGGGGAGTAAAACTGGATGTTTGCTCGACTGTGTGTGGCTCTGGAATGGCGTGGGCATAGCCTTGTCTTGCTGGGCTGAGTTGACTTATACCTATAAGAAAGTTTGCTAAGAAGAGAGCAAGGCTTCAGTGGCTATCTTCTCATGTATAATGTCTTGTGTCTTCGATGCATTCATGATTTAAATTGTTGCAGGGGCCACTCGCTGGCGGATCCCGATGAGCTACGCTGTCCTGATGAAAAGGCGGCGTTTGTGGTGCGGGATCCTGTGAAGCATTTTGAACAGTACCTGCTAGGTATGGGATATGCCAATGACGAAACTCTGGAACTGACACGCAATAAGGTAGGAGTCTGCTACTTAATGCTGGTGTTAATTATGGTGGCCATTAGGGTGTACAAGTTGCCTGTGCGTTCCTTTTTTTCAGTCTAGCACTCCTTATGTGCTAGTTCGCAACGGAAACAATACTTACTCTTTAGTCTTCCAGAGAAATAGTAGGCCAATAAATGGCTTCATTCATGGTGCTTCCAGGTGTATGCACACTGCAGACAGGCCGGCCGTTTATGCTCATTCAGACTCAAGCGGCGTGCCGCTTTCGTGTGATTGCGTGTCTGGTCGCTGCAGATTAAGGCCATCGTGGAGGATGCCGTGCAGTTCGCTGAGGCGTCTCCGGTACCAGATGTCGCGTCAGCAGGAGAATCCACTTTCGCCCCTTCATACCAATCCGAGGGTTTTGATCATCTAAGCCCCTCGGAGTTAGCCGCCTACGCGAGGGCTCTCAAGATAGAGCTGGATCGTGAGGCGCGAAGGGCTGCAGGCGAACGTGTTGTGCCACCACCTGTGGAAAATGACCACAACCCCCCGATTGTTATTGACTGAGGACGCTGGTAGAAGCAATGCAGAAGTAAGCAAATCTCTGACCCCTCTTTCCCTCCTGTATTCGGCCTTCAAGCTCGGTAATTGGGGACCAGCACTAAGAACGCAGTCATGTCTCATGAACGGGTGGCACGCAGGTGAAGCCTGGCCAAGGAAGAAGCTTACTATTGGCTCCAATGCTATTGGAGTCTTCCGGAAATCCACGGGTACTGCTATGCAAAAAAGGTCGAAAGGCGCTCACTCTCCCCGCAGCACTTGCACGCAGAAGGCAATCTAGCTGCAGGCTGATGTTCCTGCTGAGCGCCTGATCAATGGTAATACGAAGGCGTATCGTTTGAAGGGGGCCAGCGGCCTTTACAATTTATCCACAACACCAGCTCTCTCCTTGCTCTTCCGTGTCACTCTTTCATTCTCATCTTCACTGAGTCACACCCTCTTCTCTAACAGTAATAATACCAGACCTGCTGGGGTTACCCCAGCGTGTGACTGCGAGGCAAATCGGCCTGCAACAACTGACACACAGCGGGTTTAGCCAGGCTCAGCAAGTTGCTGTATGTGGGGGACGATGGGACTTGTGAGGCCAATTTGGGCCAATTGTGGACAAAGCATAAATCCAAATGCCTTGAGACAATGCTACCAATCTATAGCGTCTTTTCGTAGTGACATTTTCCTCTTGAAAATAGGTCGCTTATGAGTCTTTCAGGAGCTTTAGAAAGGAAGCGAAATGCTCTGTGTGGCTAAGCTGGATGCCTCTTATGGCAGCTGTCGACGTTCAGGGTAGTGGGGCATCCACTGTGCAGTTTAAGGGCATCGCTATTGCTTGCTGTTCACACATGGACCCTTTGCGGATGAACACCGTAACGTCAGTGGCTAGAAACCAAATATCCCACAAGAAGTTATTTGCTTTTCCTGTAGAGGTACGATCTAGTCAGCAGTGCTTGCATCATGGCTAACGACTGCGAAATTGTACACGCGTGAAACCCCTGCAAACTGCTTGTGATCGCTGGGTATCATTACACTAAATCCCTACTCCCGTTTGAATGTGTTTGTCCTTCGCAAAACTTCGTACGGTACAAGAGTAAGATGAACGTGCCAAAAGCCTCAGTCGTTCGCCAAAAGCTTTCTTGCCGTTCGTTGGATGGCAACGGACCTCCTTCAGTGTGAAGATTCGAATGCAAACAAAAGTTTTTAAGCTGGCTTTGCAGAGTAAACTGCTACAATCAGCTAAGCTACTCGCAACTGCTTAAGTTTTGATGATACTGCTGATTTAGCCCATCTTCTCATTCTGCTCTAATCTTACACGCTAGCATCGAGGCAGAGGCTTGTTAAACAAATTTGTTCCACCGGCGCATTTACCGGAACTAGGGGTCAGGACGGTAACCTAGATCCTTTAATAGCTGTGGTGTAAATAGAAAAATATAAAAGCATGCAGTTTCTCACGATATTAGGAAGACTGAGGGGAAATAGTCGTGAAAGAGCTTGTTCCAGTAGCTCCACTGCGACCTTGCTGCAGTCTTGGAGTGCTGTTCGTAAAGAGTGGGTAGGAAATTCTTGAGTGGAGCAAAATAGGTCAAGAATACAGTATACTCTACAGTGACTGTCATGGCTCGGCAGATACTTACATTAGGTTTAATCAGTGCTGTTCGAGGTCCTCGGACAGGACAGATGAGGAATGGGACAGGTTGTAAAATGAGATTCTTCGCCAATCGCGACGTAAGAAGGGCCTAGAGTAGCTGGAATAGGCGACGTGAAATCGAGTCCTTTACCAGCACATCCACGATAACGATCGAAATTTATCATCATCGCGTAAAACTGCACCAACTCAATGAGGCCTTGGTAGCTACCATATAATAGAAGGCTCTTCCTTTCCCTTGCTATATTCAAAGATGACAGCAACAATGTAATTAAATGCAACTTGAGGCGTGGCGCCTAATTGTGTACTCGTCTGTTTGCGGCTGAGCTCATCTCGCCATGTACCGATGAGTCAAGGCTTGACTTACTCCCAAGCTATACAACTCTCTGCAGGTCGACGACTTCCTCTGCTTGAGTACAGCCGCGGTTGAAGTGCTTCACCTTCCGACATACATGCCGAGAGAAGCATTTCTTACCTTTTCTCTCGGGTGTGCGTAGCGAGGTACGCATACGCCTTTAACAGGCTGAAGAGATCTTAGGTTTTTGCCTATCTATATGGCCGTAAACTTGGGTTGGCTCAACCTCATCGGCGCATCCAGACATGCTTGTCCGCTGAAAAAAGTCATGCGCTTCTATCAGCTGTAAAGTCACTTTGTTTAAATGAGCTTGAAGGCCGACACCTCCAGCCCCAACAGGTGTAGCGCCACCGTCAACTTCCACGGCCAGAAGCTTTTTCCAGCCTGTTGCCTCGAAATTTTGAATTACCATATTACTCTAGCAAAGTCATGCAGCATCTTAGGGAAGCCTAAACGCTCATTGCGTTGGCAGCCAGTTCTACTAGCGGGAACAGTTGCATCGAACTGTGCGGTAACACCAACTGGAGCTCTCCTACCAACGTCTCTGTAGGGCTACACTTCACTGCAGACAATACTAACATGGCAAAAAAGCTATCTGGCTTTCCAGAGAAGTCCCTGATTAAGCGGTCACTGACTCTCAACGTTCTTGTTTTAAGATGAGAGGGACAGCTAGGGTGTGAGTTACTGGACCCTTGCTGCGCTGCGAGCAGAATGTGTAGCATACCCAGCTCCAGGGATGATTTTGCTGGACCGTCCAAATACTCGCTCGCACCCATGGATGAACTTGCAGTTTTAGATTATTATTTTGTAGTTTCACTGAATATAACTAGCTTAATGGCACCTATACCGCAATAACACATGCAGCTGTACGACGCACTTCAAAGGCATCGCTATCTAATTCCAGCCACCCTTGGGTCATAGGTGATAATTAATTGCAGGTGCCCTAAGTCCACCCAGCACTACTTACTCGATTCCCTTTATTAGTGCATAATTATCTATGAAGCTGCTTAGACGGCTTAAAGTAGAATGTGAAAGCACTGTTGTCGGCTCTATCTGCACCGAAATGCTGTGCAGGCTGTCTTACTAAATGGACACTGCTACGGTTATGGAATTAATCCCCACACCTGTATGGATATGAATGTGGATTTTATTGCCCAACATGGGCTCCATAGAATGAAAGTTAAGCAATTTCATTGTAACGCGAGAGTGGATGCCACCCGACAGCTACGCTGCTGCAATGTGACGCTGCAGTATGCTACACATGCCTTAGATCCATAAACCTATAATGTGTTTAAGCATCAGTAACTTCACATTTTTGAGGATTAAATGCACTAGGGTCTCCTTTGTATACTCTCAATGGGCCCCCTGCATCGTAGGCACCGACCTGGAGTGCAGCACCGTGCGGTGCGGTCCAAAAGTGGGGCCCCCTCAAATGATGTGCTCTACCCTGGGCATTCAGAAGAAACTGTAGAAATGAGCTGATCTTAATTGCAGTTGAATGCTAGTGTTCATTACGAGCTTAAAAGGAGTCGTATGTGTGCACTGCCCACTTCCCGCCAGCAGGGGTGCCTTTGCAATTGCTTCCTATGCTTTCTTCTCGCCAGGTGGAACATAGTCGGGGCAAACGCGAGAGCAAACTTTGGTGGTCACCTGAGGGAAGTGCTACAAAACGTCCTGCACACGAAGCACTACTAGAATCCCAACACAAGCATTTAGGAGCTGAGTCTAAGAGCAGCAAACTTGAACAAAAGCCTGTGGCTACAGCTGGGTGCCCCAGCCGGGGCTCTAACGGCTCATCTCGTGGGTATCACCAGCATCAGCCTACGAGCATCATTCCAGTGGAGTCCAACAAGCCATTGATATCTAGCTCTAGGGCACCGTCAGCTCCTGAACTCGCCGCAGTTCACCCTGTCTATTATAGGAGAATGGAACGGCCTTCACATACCCAACGGACTCCTGAGGAGGTCGAGCTTGCGCTCGAAGTGCTAAATGACGAGCTGGCAGGGGCTTCGCCGCTTGACCGCCCCTCACTCGAGCTGGCTACTCAAGCCCTAACCGAGCGACTTGTTCAAATGAGAAAAGAGCAACAGCAGCAGACAGCTAGCATTGTTCCCACATCATCAAGCATTAACAGGCAAAGCACCTTTGAATACACGAAATCGCTACAGGCCGTCATTGTCGGCGAGGGCTCACAGAAATACACGCTCATAAGGATCCCCAAACAAGATGACATGGTAGGCGACGTATACCTGGTTCGCGGAGACCCAAAGGCAGAGTATCACTACCAAACAGCCTTAGAGACGCTAAATTCTCTTCAGTCAAGAAACATAATGTCCGGTAAGCCTCTAATTCCTGAGGATGTCACTTCTCTAGCATTATTTGTGCTTCCATAGGGTGCATCAATGTGTACTCTCCTTTCCTTTGGTGTGGTGCGCTTATCGTTGAATGATCACGATACAGCGCTGCTGATGGGAAGCAGTTGTCGTTTTCTGTGGGCATGTTGAAGGATATTCTATTGTGGGCTGTTTTCACGGCAGACGTCACTGGAGGCGGCAGGATGGACGTTTTGAAGGACGACAGGAAGGTTCAAATTTATGGCTATTCATACCAGTACGGGGCTGCAGACCATTCCATTACTGCGAAGATGATGAAGGAACATCTAGGAGACGAGTTTCTCGTGTCATTTGGCAACTATGGTTATTAGGCACCCACATTTTCATCATTACGGCATGCCCCGCGGATGTGCAATGCAGCGAAAGGAGCGAGAGCTGGCCTTCTCTGCCCTTCGAGGGCCAGGCCAGTCATGAAGCACGAAACCGGACGTACAGTGGGTCTGGTGCGGTGGGTTTTCCAGAACGACGTAGAATACCAGAAGACGTGGAACATGGGGTGCGTGCTAAATGTGCACCAAAATTCGAAGCGATGCCATTTGTACCTTGTCTTTATCTGATTAGTGCGTGCAACATATGTAGCGCGTTTAAGTAGCCAATTTTAGGTTTTATTTTTTTACGCAGCTTATAAGGAATATCCTAGTTCCTACGAGCGTGCAGAATCGGTGATGGACCCCCCCTGAGAGGAACAGTCCATGATCGAGCAAAATGCGTGTAAAATTTAAGTTGTAATAATACAAAGTATTCTCTCTGGCATCTATCTGGACTCTTCATGTTTCCAAAAGCAAACATTTGCACGGTTTCTTAGGAATCGTTTTTGGACCCTAATGAATATGTTCAATTAAGCTCTAGTAGCTTCTGCATTGATGTTGTACATCAATGTACACATGTCTGCAGCATGTAATTCTTGCATTTTGATTCATTACGCACCTTTCTGTGCTTCATTTAAACTACTCACCACCCAGAGGAAAACCGACTGCAAAATTAGGCACGCACTTTTAGGGTGTATACACAGAGCTTGAAAAAAGTAAGAGGGCTTCGTAGCACATGCTATCGCCATTGCCCCTTAATATTTGCATCAGGAAAAAAATTACAACATTATGATTCTCCCGCACTTAGTATTCGTCGCAAGCGTGACCTTTCACATGTTAATATCATGTGGTTCTTCTCTGAACGAAGCACGAATTGTCCATTACAAACACCGAGTCAGCAAAAACGGTTTGCCTCATTGGGGTATTAGTTCTTTACAAAACTTTTAGGCTCTACATTCACCGCAATTTTTGGGGACAACGGAGACTCCAGAAGAAGAACTCGACGACGAAATCACTGCAGTTGAAGACTCTCTATCCGAGTTGCATCAAAAGCAAGGCGTCAATGCGTCGTGAGAGCGCATATATTCTTGCTTGACGAGAGACTAGACGAATTGTTTTCAGGCTATCTGATACTGTGGAACGCAAAGTTGAATTGCTCGAGCACGAGCTCGAGGAGACCCGACAGCATCATGCAAACGAGCTGGAGAAGAGAAACGCAAAGCGCCATAAACTTCTAGAGATGAAAGCAGGCACTCCTGATGTCGAACACAATTCTTCTCAGATGGAACCATCGGTGAAAGCCGGTGTCAGATCAAAGCCAGTGAAGTGTTTGCCTGAATCGGCGGCGAAGATCTCCCCGGTACCACCTGAGGTACGCGGCCTACGTGCAAAATCTTAAACAGCATGAAACGTCAAGGTACTTTCAAGGAAGTTCTAGAGGCAGAGATGCCTTCTGAAACGCCTAAAAGCGAAATGGAGAGGTAAATGTTGCGTTGCTTCATTTTGTGCTGAACTACAAATACGTCTTCCTGATGCAGACTCGAGAAAACGATTGAAAGGTGAAACGCTGTCATTTTGGTAACATCACCATGGGAGTAAATGCTATCGGCAGACTGGCTCCGGCAGAAAAGACATCGTCAACAGCTGAAATAAAGCAATCCGAACCGGTATCCGCGGCCACGCTCGAGGAAGTGCAACGGGATGTGCTGGAGGCCGAAGACGAAGTGCGTCAAGCAGAAAAGCAGCGCCAGGAGGAATTAGAACAAGAAATTGATGCTGAAGTTCAGCAAATACTTACTGAATCCGAACATGCCAAGCACGGAGAGGCAGCCATTGCAGCGGCTGCTTCCGAGGTGGAGGCTGAGGCAGAAGCTGCAAGTGCAGCAGCTGCAAGCCACACGGAAGGTCACAGCTCGGAAAGCGAAAGAGAAGCCGAAGCAGAAGCTGAGAATGCGAGTGCCGCAGTTGAGGAGGAAGCAGCAACGATCACAGCAAAGAAGAAAGCGCTATCAGCTAGCGAGGCAGAACATGAACATGCGGAAACGGACTCGGACGAAAAGGAGGCAAAAAGCAAAAATGCGAGAGCCTCCAAGATAGCAGACCAGAAGTCGGAAGAACGTGAAGCTGCGGAAAGAGCTATTGGCGGTTCCTCTGCAGAGGGCCGAAAGGCTCAGGTAAATACTTTTTTGGGGTGGTCACCGGCATTTTATACAGAAAGGTACACAACCTTTTAGGCAGGATGATGCCGTGACCCACAGGCAGGGCATCCCAGCCTGAACCAACGGCAGCAACCCCTGCTCGATTCGGTTTCAAACAAAAACCAGGACTCCACCCGGTGCGTCAACAGTGTCCTTTCTCATAAATAGAGTAACTGTTAGCTGCACACGGTGCCGCACAATACTGCCGTTCTACTATATCCCAATGTTTAGAGACGAAATAAAAAATTTTATCCGCTGTACTGCACTCAAGCAGCCAAAAAGCAATTAACAGGAGGCACTTTACCCATGCTTACACGCAGTGGTGCAAGTAAAAACGCCAATAACTGATAAGACCACGAACGCCCTCGAAGTTTTACCCCGAGGTATCGTGGTGAAAACGAATATGCAGCTGTGCACGCCAACGATTGCTGCATACGCAGAAAAAAAATCGATTCTTCATTAATCCACTGCATGCCTACTTCGTTGACAAAAGTACGAGCTTGCGAATTCGGAACTCTTCTGCTGGAACGTTCCTCAAACAAAATACCACTCAATTCCTTAGAATCGCCTGTCATACCCCCTAAACACTTGGCAACAGCACTCAGCTCCCCATGCTACTGCGCCTGCTCGGCTTGCGCCAGCTTCCTTCTTCGGCCCTTGCCGAACACCCTGAGCACCCAAGGAATCATAAGATACGCAAACAGAGCGTTGCCCAGGAGTAAGCATTCAACGTGCAATGTGCCATACTGCATATAACCAGTGGAAGTGCCATTGCTACCCTGAAATATGCAAGAAGTGCACTGTATCTATTAGGCTGTAGAACAGTCTATGTGCGCATTCGTTATACCAAAGCAAGCACAAGGAAAGGACTTCAAGTATAATCATTTGTACAACGCGCCCAAGTACCTTTTCTGATAGGGGTCAAACCCACGGCCCTCCGCCCCAAACACAGCCCAAGAAGGGGAAACAGTACAGTAGTCCAGTCCTGTAAAGTCTCGGCTTCCGTTGAGGGCCTAAATGGAAACAATGCATATCAGCCAGACGCAGAAGAGAACCAGAGTAAGGCACTATTTGTGCATGGCATTTTCCACGTACGTGTGTGCACGCACATACATTTATGCACGTAATCTTTTGCTGCCGTATCTTGGCAAGCAGGTAAAGAGGAGCACTCAGTGCTGGGCCTACGAGCTGGAAAAACTTAGGGTAGTCGATCCAAATGTGCCACTGGCCGTTTCTGAGGTACCTGCGTAGCCACATCGCTGCTCGGCTACGTGCATTCAGCCACACGCTTAAAGCAGCCAACAAGTAGTGTTCGACGAAACTGTAGCTGAAAGACAGAAAGGGGCCGGGGGTACGCAGTACAGATGGGCCTTCTGGGTCAAACAGCAACCGTACTTGGTGTGAGCGAGCAGCACGCAACACGAGTGCTCGTGCTCAGAGGCAAGGGCATACACTCCCTCTGGTAAGGCCTTGCAAAGCCCCTCAGCAAACATCAATACCTGCAATGTGAAGGAGGAGTGAAAGACACATGAAGCACGCACTGCTGATCGGGGAAGCTCCGTGAGACACCGTTCGAAGATACGGATCCCCATAGGCTCATCCGAATGTGAAAAACCCAAGTGTATTGCGTCACCGTCCTGTACGTCTTGCCTCATTATAGCCACCAAAGGTGCTAGTAGTTGAGGGGAGGGGAGGGAATTGAGGTGACGCGCTCCCACCTGCTGGTGCCTAGGAACATTCTTCATGGATAGAGATTCTTTGTCAAGCCCCCCGCAGAAGGTCATGCCCTTGATCTCTATCAGGTCGGGCTCGCCTCTCCTTACGAGGGCGGCATACCCTTCGAATGTGCTCGTGACGTTCTTGTGCCTCTTCCCCCCCCTTTTCCGGTTGCAAGTATTCAATAAGTCATTCGCTGGTGGAGCCGGCTCCGCTGCTCCCTCTTCCTCTAGGGGACCCAACACGCAGTTGTAGCCGTGCACGAGCGTCAGCCTGAAAACTGTCCTCTGCTTTTTGCTCCGTAGGATGTCAACACACTGCAAGAAGCGTGCCCAGTAATCCCGATGTATGGGTCGGTCTGCAGGCCCCCACGCACCCCATACAAGCCGCATCCCTCACGCCCCTTCTCAGAGATGACCACGAAAGATCTATTTTTAAACTTGCATGGCAGGGTTTGTGCACACCAGCTGTCACGGCAATTGGACGGAGCAACATACCCAGCCTTTTAAGGTCTTGTTCTGTTGCAGCGTCGATAGAGAGGTACAACTGTGTCACGGGATCCAGTGCTCTCAGAGCGTCGGGGTGCTGCGCATTTGTTACCTGCGAGAGCCACACACCCCACCAACCTAGACGCCCTCCACGAACACAAAAGCAGCTGCCCTCCCAATGGCTCCAAACCCCTGTACACCTCTAGGGCCACCGCGAAACGCATATGTCACGTGGCAAAGTGCGGAAACCAACAGCGGCAGCAGCAGCGGGCACACACTGACAACACGCGCAGCACCCACCAGAAAAGTCGAGATGCCTTGCTGGTGCATAAGATGGACGAGCTCGTTCAGTCTGGGGTACATAATGGGTTCGCCGACGAGGGAGAGAGCACAATGCAGAACTCTCCCCTGGACTTGAGAGAAGAAGTCGCTGCGCAAGCCAGGAAGCCCTGAAGACGGCAGAGGCAGTGCACGCGTCGAACACACACCTCAGAACCGAGAGAGAGAGCTCAAAGGTTTACAAAAAATTCCGCGCATTACGCCCCCTTCATATAGGGCCCCCTTTTTCCCACCGACAGACAGGCAAAGGAACAGACAGAAAAATACAGATTGACACAGCTGCAAAAGCAAGAGGCGGAAAACTGCCCAGTATGCTGTTCGTATTGGTGCAGCCCAAGTCCCATAGCAGTGCCGGCAGCAAGAAGCACCCCCCTAGCATTTATCCATTTCTTGCACCCATTTACCGGAATTTCCTTCTACTTCTAACCCCCGCTATCGAGCAGTATCACGCAAATAGTAGTAGCAAACTACTAAAGATCTCACCCTTGAGCTCTTTAATAGTTTGCAGGTGATTTTGCATGGCCTCGCGCAGCACTTCCTTGGGGTCGTCCTGCTTCCAGCGCCAATCTGCCGCTGCCAAGTTGGTATGATGCCTCCAGCAGAAAAGGCAGCGGTTCGCGCATGCGACGGAGGACGTGAATTCCATACACCCGTAAGACATGATGCCATAGAATGTGTGCTTGTAGCAGCCTCCCCTGCCCCTCAACGCAGCACGCGTCCAGCGGCAAAGCTTGACTGCAGAGTGCGTCCCTACCAATTTGTAACCCTCCTTTCCGAGATTCGCTCGCATGCGTGCAGTGAGCTGCTCCGGCAGCTCGACTGCTTCTGACTTTGTCGCTCCTCCTGCAGGATCTGATCTTGCCGCTGAATGCATGGCGCCACTTAAGGACCCCAAATCCTCAAGATCTGCGTCCTCTCCTCCCTCGCCGCATGCGCCACCCACAAAAGCCTGCCGCTGCTGCTGAAGAGACTGCTCTTCCTCGTCCTCGCTGCTCTCCGAAAGCTCACTAGAGGTGCCGGACGTATCGCTGCTGCTACAGTTGCAGCTGCTCCTGAATCCTGCCGCGCCTGCCTTCTGCAACAGCATCTGCTGCTGGTGCTGGTGCTGGTGGTGCTGCACAAGCTGCACGCTTCGTGCAGCCCACTGTAGAAACTTTCTCGCAGTCGTGGCCGGTGTTGCATGCATGCAGAGAATCAGAGATTGAAGCAGCAAACTTGCACCAAGGTCAGTCAGGTGCGCCGAAAGTTTCTTCATGGTCTTGCTGCTCCTGATGTTGAAGCTGTTTCCATTGACATTCGTTCGAGGAAACCCACCCTCTTGCGGTGTGCCTCGCTGTTTCTGCTGCCGCTGAGTTCGCTGTTGATGCTGCCAGGCAGCAGAGCCTGCTGCCCCCTCTTTCCCAGCTGCTCTGTTGCAGCAAACAACAGAAATCGCGCAACCCTTAAAAGGACTCCGAGACATTCGCCGGTCCTTTAACGCCTCTGAAACTTCAGCAGCAAACGCAGCAGACGCTGGCAGCAGACGGCCCTCCTCTGCAGCGAGAAACAGAAATATGCAGGGAGAACTAGCGCATATTTGGCGGCAGCTGCCATGGCTGTTGCTGCTCGGATTCCTGAGGGAGTTGCAAACATCAAGCAAATCTTCTAAGGCCGCATTCTCGAGAGGCTGCGGTGCAGCAGGAAGCGCATATGGACCGCCTGTAGCTACGCTTGACGCCTCTGACGAATGCTGTGCGTCGAAGCAGTCTAAAGCTCTGCCTGCGCCAGAACTAGAGCAGCAGCTCCTGCTGCTGCTGTCTGCGATAAGTCCCTCTACAATCAGAGACGTCGTGTCGAGCTTCTGCTGCTCTTGCTCCTGCTCTTTCTGCTGCTCTTGCTGCTGCCACTGTTGCAGTGCTGTGTGCAGTTGTAGGGAGAAGAGAATGGCCAGGCCCTTAGAAACCTGGCACTGCGGCTCGTAGCGAATTAAATAGCACAGATTGCTGCTGCTATTGTTGTTGCTATTGCTGCCATTGCTGCCGCTATTGCTGCTATTGTTGTTGTCGCTGCTATTACTGATATTGTTGTTGCAGCCACAGCCGCCTCGGTTTCTGCCGCCCTCCCCCTTGCTGGTACGCAGGGAGGGGGGGACGCTGCTGCTGCTGCAGGTGTTACTGCGCGACGCAGCATTGGAGTTTGGCGTGTTTTCGCAGCAAGAGTACGCGCCTTGCCCGCCGCAGCAGCAGGAGTCTGTTGCGTCAGTTTTAGATGCATCGAAGGAGGCTACAGCAGGCGCAGCCGCCGAATAGCCCGCATCCGTTCCTGCGGGTGTAGGCGCTTCTGCACGATGAGCATGGCGCAAGAGTACCCGAAGGAGGGGCCTGTTGAGTTTGTGGAGGCTAAACATTATAAGTTGAAGCCTTTTCCCACTTTAGTGTGCACGAAGATGGCGAACAACGCAATTCCACCGGGGGATCGGGAGTGGCGGCTTCGTAGTGCACATCGTCCTGACGACCCCCCGAGTGGTTTTCTGCGCCTACTTGTTGCTCGTGGTGTTTCTGCCGAGAAAAGCGAGATTTCTTTTTCACTGCTTCAAGCAATCTTCGTGTTCTGCAGGCTCAAGGTGTCTGTTAGGGGGCCCGGCGGAGAAGTTTTGCAGGCAGCCCCATGACGCAGGGGTGACCGCAGCGGTTTGGCACGATCGCAGCGTCTGCATGCAATCTCGGCAGCGTTCATCGATGCGCTAGCTAGCCAAATAACTCTCTCTCGGGAGGGAGGGATAGAGAGAGATATATATATTTATATATATGTGCTTGTACATACAGGGAAGGAGGGCTACATGTAGGCATCGAGATGCGCGGTTCCGCTGAATGTGTTGTTTCATAACTGCATGAACGAACGGCTTTGCTCGAAACTCGCGGGCCCCGCTAGCCACCCCCGGTGTATCTCTGACAGACACAACTGAAGTCTCTCATGCGAAGCCGCTCGCTGCATGCTCTACACAGCCTCAGAATTCCTCGAGACTCTCGCCGCGTGAGAGGCCCCTTCCCCGACGGCACGCATTTTTTGGGGGTGGGGAAATCAATCCGCGAGCAGCAGCTGCGCACACGGCTACAACCAGCGCATGGGCTGCTTAGCCTCATCCATGCATGCATGCACGCATGCATGCATGAGGCTGTGGTGGGAACGACAGCAACACGGCAACACGGCAACAACACGCCACCCCGAACCCATGGTAACAGCCCCTGCCAGCTACACGGATGTTCACTGCCAGGAAAACAGACTCTAGGCACCCTTTTGTGACAGGATTGCGACTTCGATAGCCGTGCCGCATTTTTTCCTTCGTATTCAGCAAAAGGCAGTAACGTCAACACCCCTAACTGCATCAGGAAGAACGTGTCTGCCGCCGATAAGCGCCTTCGATTGGGGTGGCTGCAAAGGCGGCACAGATGCGCAGCTTCTTCGCTCGAGGAGCATGCGCATTTCCTCCGCTGCTTCTGCTGCTGCTTCTGCTGCTGCTTCTGCTGCACTGCAGCAAGGCAATCCCGAAGCCGCTGCAGCGCTGCTGCTGGACCTTCCCCGTGGACAGGGAGCACCCGCTGCAGCATGAGCAGAGGGTATTCGCCGCACGCAGGAGCGGCAGCGTTGCAGCCTCACTTTCAACGTTTTCCGTCGAAAAAATGCCACCTGGGGCCCTGTGTCTCGTCACTGGACGCTGGCTTGCTGCGAGCACCGCCAGGAGACTGACGAGCTTCCGCTCCTGTCAGCAGCACCAACGGCCGCCGTCTTGGCAACAGACACCACCATGGCAACAGGGGTGCCTTCATGGCGAAGCAGGCGCTTTAAGACTCCTCGACGGAAGGGCCTTATTGCATTCCGCATGCTGCCTGGGGTGGCTTTCGCCGCACTCGCTGATGGACAGCTGCAGGGCTGGCAGCCGGATCACCCGAAGAAGCAGCAGCAGCTGCTGCAGCTACAATAGTAATAGCAACAAAAGCAACAACACTAGCGGCAGCGGCAGCAAAAGGAGCGATATCGTGCAAGCATCTTCGCGCCGTCCTGTGCTTGCCGCGGCAAGCTTGGATAGCTCGGTGCCTGACGTTGATTCTTCTGCCACAGCAGAGACGACGGTCAAGGCTTTTCATGCGCAGCTGTGCAACAAAATCGAGGAATTGAACAAGGCTTATTTTGGGGGCGAAGATCCTCTGGCCACCGATGAGGCGTACGACGCTTTGTGGATGCAGCTGCAAGTGCTGGAAAAGGTGTGCCTGTGGTGCTGGGGAAAAATGCACTGAGGGAGGGAGAAAGGGAGGGAATGTTGAGGGTGAGGAGAGGTCGGTTACTCTATATATCTGAGGGGCACGTTTGTTTTCAAAGGCTTTTAGCAGCTGCACGTGCTTTAGGAGGGCTGCCAGCCGGCTATTGTGAGCCGCATGCTTGCATGAGGAGAGAGAGAGAGAGAGAGGAGGTCGACAGGCCCTTAGGCATGCGCCGCTGCAAAGAGGCGTTGGGAAGAGGCTGCTCTAGCAGGTGACGGGAGTCCAAGATAGACGCTTGTTCTTTTGATCCTTACAGGATACGCCTGGTGAGGGGGTTGGCTTTGGATGGAGCCTTTCGTGCTTCATTGACAGGCTGCTTTCTTTCCTGGCGTCCCTCCATTTTCGCTGCAGAAGCATCCCCATCTTCGCCTCCCCGACAGCCCTCTGCGAAGAGTCGGAGCAGTCCCCGTAGGAGTAGGCGCACATGCAGGGGCACCCGCAGCGAACTGTCAGCATTTGGCACCGGTTCTGTCTCTGGAGAGTGTGCATGCTCCAGCAGAGGCCTCACGCCTCTTTGACAGGCTTGATAGGTAAAATAAGGCATTCCCTCGAGATTCTAGGACAGGGGGCTGTCGATTGAGGCTTCATTGGTAGACAGTAGGCAGTCGCGTTTGAAGTGTGCTGTGCTGTGCAAATAAGGCTTTCGATTATGTATGCTGCGCAACTTTCTTCAAGCGAGAAGAAAGGTGCAAAGTGTGAGTAGATACATACACAAACATACAGACATGTACATGCACACATGCACAAACACATACACAAACACACACACACATTATAGCGCACGCAGGAGTTGCACTGAGCGTTTTGCGTCGTTGTTGTTGCTGTTGTTGTTTTGTTGGTGCTGCTGCAGATTTGTTAAGAAGGTGTCTCTTGAAGGGAGTGGCAAATCTGCGGGGCGAAGGCGGCGTTGTGAGGCAGCGGTGGAATCTGAGGCCTCATCAGTGAAAGTATCGCGTGCTCTTGGGGGGGGTGGATTGGCTGAACTTTTTGATGGAGGCACTTTGCCTGCATCTGCAGCAGCAGGTGTGGGTAGTAGGGCTACGGGGGGTGCAGCAGAGGACGGCGGTGTCTTTGCTGCGCCGCTGCTGCTGGAGCCGAAAGTGGATGGTCAGAGTCTGTCCCTCACTTACATGCGAATGCACAGCAGCAGCGCCACGAAGGCTTGCAAGAATGCTGTTCGGTATCGCTTGGTAAGGGCTCTTACGAGGGGTGATGGCCTTTCGGGAGAAGACGTCACGAACAAAGCGCTTGTTCTGGGAGGCGTGGGGGTGTTTCCCCTTGAAATTACAGTAGGAGGTGCAAGCACAGCTGTCGATGCAGGAGGAAGAGCAGGGGATGGGGGCAGTTTGGCACCAGAGAAGGTAGCAGCAGGAGAAGGGCGCCAAGCAGGAAGCGGCTTTGCGAGTGGCGACGCAACGCGATATCCGAGGCAGATCGAGGTTCGAGGCGAGGCTTTCATGGGCCTGGATGCTTTTGCGTCTCTGAACAAAGACAGGAGAGAGCGAAGTCTCAAGGCTTTCTCATCCCCGAGGTGCGTGCCTGCCGGAGGACCAGCCTGTAGCGGCGGAGGAGGCAAGGTAGACACATCTTGGCAGAAGACGCGCAACAGGGGCAAGCGGGGAAGGGCTTACAGGGTGTAGGGTGATCGAAAAGGCTTGAATGCGTGGGGTGAAACAGGGTCGTTAGGAGGGTGGTGGGTAGGGAGCAGTGCTCGGAGATGAGAGGCAGTAGAGTTTCGCGGACGGCAGTAGGCATATCTGTGTGTCAGAAGGCTTAAAAAATAGGAGAGAGAGTGTGTGAGTTGACTTGCCTGCCGCGTGTGGGGTTACGGAGTCTGGCAATGTGGCTGCTTAGTGCATTTCTGAAGCAGATTATACAGCCCGTATGTTTTTGAGGCGGTGGGCAGATGGGTATACAGGCCTTTTACTCTTTTATCGGTGTGCTGTTGCTTTTGTGTCAGGCATGCTGTGGTCGGGCTGCTGCGGCGCGTGGATAACTCCAGCGACGTGGAAGACAGCAGCATTCGATTTTGTGCTTACGGCCTTGTTGCAGAGCCGTCCGCTGAGCTGCCTCTGGACCCTAATAGCGGAAAGGATACACACAGCAGTGCGTTTCGCAGTGCAGCTGCGGCAGGCGCTGCTGTTGCTGGCGTGTCTACACAGCAAGAACTGCTGAGGCGGCTGCAGCAGTGGGGTTTTGAGGTGCTCCTGCCGCACAGTCTGCTGGTGGCTAGCCGTCGCGAGGCTTTGGCAGCCTTCGAGGAGCAGAGCCATGCCCACGCAGCTTACCAGAGTCGGCTGGAGGAGGTTCTTCGTGGTCCGCCTTCTTCCAATGCTGCTGCTGATGGTGGTGAGGCGGGCGCTGAGACAGGGGGAGCAGCAGCAGCTGCTCCCCCTATTCCAGCTGTTGGCTTCCCTCTGCCTTTGGAGAGCGTCCCTTGCGACGGTGTCGTATTCAAGCTGAACTCTCTCCAGCACCAGTGGCAGCTTTCGAGCACTGCGAGAGCTCCGCGGTGGGCATTTGCCCTCAAGTTTGCTGCTGTAGCGACGCGAACCCGTGTAGTGGCAGTTGAGTGGACGGTAGGCTCCTCGGGTGTCTGTACACCCGTGGCAGTGCTGCAACCCGTGCTCTTGGGGGGCGTCACCTTGGGCAGGGCTTCGCTGCATTCCCTGCAGGAAATGAGGCGAAAGGATGTGAGACTTGGAGACCTGGTGTATGTACAGCTCAAGGGAGAGTCGGTTCCACAGATATGTAGAGTTGATTCTCAGGCCAGAAGCAGCGAATCCAAGCCTGTCTGCGCGCCTACCCATTGCCCGTCTTGCGAGCGAGTGCTGATGGAGCGTTCTCCGCCAGCGATGAAGACACCGGAGGCCTCTGCGCCTCTGCATCCTTCTAGAAGGAGAACATCGAAGCAAGGAAAAAATGCCACAGGCGAAGCTGCAGCAACACCCCCACCAGCAGGCTTCACGACTACCCAAGACGCGGACAGACCTAAAGGGGTCTTGTGGTGCTCGGGAGGGTGGGCATGCGGAGCACAGCGGCTGCAGCGGCTTCGACGTTTCTTCTCACGTGATGGATTGGCTGTGGCTGGTTTGGGGCCTAGAGCGCTGGAGGCTCTTACAGCTAAGGGCTACCTAAAGGTTCCTAGCGACGCGTTTCATCTGGCGAACACGGATAATAAAAAGACATCCTTGGGAGAGGCTGGCATGGCGGGCTGGCCTGGCTGGGGTCCCCAGGCAAGAGACGCACTCTTTAAGGAGATCCAGCAGGTGCAAGAACGAGGAGTGCAGCTGCAGCGGCTCCTGTTCGCTCTAGGCATTCCGGGGATGGGGAGACGCGCAGCTTCTGCGCTCGCACGGAAGGCGCAGACTTTCGACGGTTTTTTGAGGCTTCTGGAGGGACTAGCAGCGTCTTCTAAAGCCCCTCAGTCAGTCGTGGCCAGGGATCCAGGCATTGAGCCAGAGAGTGAAACGACGCCTCAGATACAGATGCAAACTCAGATTGAGGAGAAGCTCCCTGGAATAGACTCTGTACTGTTTGAGGAGCTGAAGCTCTTTGGAAGTGACGCCCGTAATCGCCAGCAGCTGCTGGAGATAGCAAAGATGCTGCCTGTACACCCGATGCCGGCTTCAGGTTGAAGCAGGGCGCCAGAAATGCCAGGTTATAAAAGGATGCCTGGGCACCTGCAAATCACAGGAGGCCTTTTGTATTTAAATTGATGTGGGATCGGATCGAGGACCCCCGCTGGCGCCTGTTTAAAGCTAGGCTGCGCTATGGGAAAGGCCCCTCTCCGCTGCAGCAACAGCAAATGGTTCTTCTGCCTAGCCCATGTTGGTAGGTTTACAGGCAAGTTCTTTAGGGAAGCGCACTTGGCACTTCCAAGGTGTAACAAAACTGCGTTGTTTTCTGGAAACACAGGAAGCAGTCCTTGGCTTTCCAATTTGCTACAGTGTATTCCGGCATAATAGATGGTCTACCCCAACAAAGAAACTAGCAGACAAGATGCCTCGAAACCTGCGGTGGCAGGACAGGTTGAATAGCCTCCTTTAGAGCGTCCTGCCTCCTGCGGTGAAAAGTACAACTCACTTTAGGCAGACACCAACATGGCGCTCTCCAGTTTGGAAGGTTGAGAGAATCGGCTCAGCTGTGCAACAAGCTCTCTACGGGGATGTAGCTTTGTCACGTTCTCATAGGCGAGTTGTCCAAGGTGACGGCGTATGTACATATGTGTGTTTGTGTATCGGTGTGGGCTCAAAATGTAGTTGAAATGGGGCTAAGAGAGTGATACAAATGGCTTTTAAATCACTTGCTCTCATTCTAAGGGTAAGTGAGCAGGTGTTGTTACCAGGCGAGCATGATGGAGGGTCCGGCATGCGCTGCCTCTTTTCGTGCCCTTTGGATGTCGACCTGAATGGGAGGCGGACCATTGTGGCTAGTAAGCATCACACGGGTTTTATAGGGTACAAGAAGGCGACAAAGGCGCTTTCAGGACGCATGCGACCCCAATGCTAGTAAAAGGCCAAGATCCCAGAAAAATCCCATTGCCTACCTCATGAAAACACTCACGGGTTTTGCACGTGGTTCGTGCCTGTGTGCAGACAATCTGCTGATATTTCTTTGTCCGTACAATTTTCGCTCTGTATTTTTCCCTCTCACTCTGGTACAACTATCGAAAATTACAGTTGGGGCTCTGAAAGCTTCAATCACTCGCTTCGAGACAGAGTTTAGCGTGACTTGTTATATCAGGAACAGCTAACTGCTGTTTGCAACAATGGTGGCAGAGTGACAAAATGCTTGCCTCACACCTTTTAGCATGTGGGTGGCCTAGCTCCTGAGGCCATTCTAGGTTAAATATCTAGGCATGCGTGCAGGGGTCCTCCCAGCAAATTAAAAGAAAAATAGCACCCGAAATACCTAGAAAATGATGCGAAGCTTCACACTCTTGAACCACCAGATAATCGGCTACAAAAGAGGAGGAAGAACACCGGGGGCTGCACTTGCTGCTCACCCTCTAATCAGTCTAGGCATTCACAGAGGTAAAAACAGTAAGCTCTGCACGCACGCACCACTTGAAAGTGTGGTCCCTGGTACTGCTGCGCAAACACTAGAACAAAGAACAATTAAATCAAGCACAAGACTAGTTCTGAATTTTAACTACGGTGAAACGCAATCGATTCAGGCAGCAACTCTCTCAGAAAGTCTTAGCCTAGACGTTCATGTGTGCTACCTTTCATTGGCGCTAATTAAGTCACCCTTCGGTGATTGCAGGAGCTAGTCGTTTTCATGAATCCTTGATCGAAGGAAGACTGAAAAGTCTGATTGTGTGTCCAATCTTGCTGCCGCATACCACGGTTACTTTCGAACTCGGCATATGCATAATGCGTGCGCGTAATGTACCACCCTTGCTGCCCTTCCTGTCCCCAGAACGCGACCTTTTCGAATTGTGGTCGCTAGTACAGCTGTCCTTAGAGCGGGAAAGCCAAAAATTTACTCAGAAAGTTTTAGTCAGGTTTCGGTGGTGAACGCCTCGTTGGGGAGATGCCAGGAGGAAGGCCCTGGGGTGGAGCCCTGATCTTCCGTGTAATAGGCTCAGTTTCCTACGAAAGGACCCCGATTCTGTCCGCGTATGATGCTTCCTTTGTGTGGATACAGAGGAACGAGCACATAAAAGTAACGAAGGATACGGCGGACAGGAGCCGTCATGACGGGTAGTGTGGCGCGTTATCCGGGCAGGCCAGGTCCATGAACGTGTCCCGCCACAACACACAAAATGGCTACATGCGCTGACAAACAAAACCTACAGAACAACACCCCGTCCCCAACAAGCAGCTTCTTTGCTTCTGTGTGAAAGATCATGAGAATAACCGCGTGCGCAGCAGCAGCCTGAGCTGTGCGCGAGGCGTACAAACACATGCAGCGCTACAGCTAATGTCTCGACAAGGACTTTTCTCCCGGAGTTTTGGCACCCAGAATTGCTCCCAAAGGATTTTTGTTCACTAGCAGGGCCCCCTTGCCTCAACAGTTGCTGCTCCGTCGAACCTGGGAAAAGCAGCGTCCAAAGGGGCTGCCGGTCCACAGGAGTTGCGCGGCGGCATGGCCAAGTGGTGCAAATTGGAGCCGCTTCCAGCCTTTTACTCACAGAGTAGGCCCTGTTTAAGGCATCACACTTCCCCGCCAAAGACAAGGAGAGGGGCACGTGCCTGCAGCGGCTGCCGCAGCGCCAGCTCTTTTGAATCATCCCCCGAGTGTGGGCAGAGAATGTGTATTTCATCGAGTAAAGAGGGCGATTGCTGCGGGATGCCGCTGATGAGGGAGTTCTTCTGGCTCTCTCTTTGGTGACTGCGTGCGCCAAGCGCCGTCCTACGTCTGTATGGCGAGCCGCTTCAGAGTGTCTCGGCTGCTGCTTCACAACCCCTGCAGGAGCGCCGTAGGTTTTTTTCCCCTCTGATTCTTATAAGCCCCCCTGAGCCGCCTCTGGCACCCCTCCTTCCTTGCTTCTCCCCCTGAGTGTCGCCAATCGAGAGTCAAGAATAAAGAATTCCAGCAGGAGCAAGGGGCCTCGTACACCTGCAGCACCACTTGCGGCCTTCGCTCGAAGCCTCTACTTCTTCGACAACACCGCGCAACGGCTGCACCCGCCCTCCTAGTCGAGCTGCCGCTGCACCAACTCCAGCAGCAGCAGCAGCAGCAGCGCCTTGTGCGCAAAACCCCCTTACTGTTCATCATCACCCCACTGGCGCGGAGGGCTTTTAGCGCGAGGCTCCAAGGCGAGACGCGGTAAGTCTCTCCAGTAGTCGCTGCCCTGTCGCATGTGCCGCTTGCCTCTTGCCTTCAACAAGTGTCTGACTCGCTCCCCTGCTCTTGGCAGACATCGGGAACAACCCGATGCAGTCCTGGTACCGAATGCCCGTGTGCATGCGTAAATCCGAGGCTCGTAGAAAAGCGTCTCCCTCTGTCTTTTCGCGTTGAAAGCCTTCCCAGAACAGTCTCGATCTTCCCGGGCTGCTAGTAGGCGTTTTCTTCTGTCACGCCTTCTAGCATAGACTCTCATATCCGTGCCTCAGCCTGCTGAGACGATGGGCGCCTCTCCATTGCCTCAAAGGCGTGCAAATTCTCCCGCCTCCTGCTCAAGAAGGGGGCGCTTTCTAACACTGTGCATGCTCCTCTGGCGTATGTATTTTTCCCGCTGGGGAAATGCAGGCTGGGGCAGGAGGCGTCCGCGGCGGAGTGGACTGCACGCGCGTCTGCCTCGCCATTGAGTCTCCCAGGTCGCCTTCGCAATCTGAAAATGAAGTGCGCTGACGCCAGCTTGTTCTTTTGCTTGGACTCCATTTTGTATTCTTGTTGCTGCTGTACCTGCTGCAAGTCTCAGTCCTGTGTTGGTGGCCGCTGTTGTCTCTCTTTCTTTCTCTCTTTTTCTCTCTTTCTTTCGCATGCCTCCCGATCGCTGCATTCATACCCTCCCTCGCCTCTCGCTATACCCGTCTCTTTGCGAAGTTGCTGATGCGTGGTGGTGCTGCTGCCGTGGAGAGAAGGGGGCGCTTATTTCACACTTTTGCACCCTTGCACCGCGCTGCTCCTTTTTTCCCCACCGATTTCTTCTCTGATCATCCTCCTCCGGAGGAGAAGGAGACTCCATAGTCGCTGTCTTGCACAGTTCAATGCATGCATTCCAGTGGCCGTGCATTTTCGCACCGCCTTAGTCTCATCCCATCCTTCCTCCCCCCATCCTTCTTTCCCCCATGCCTTTCGCGCTCGTTCTCCCCTGTCTACCGTCTGTTCCCTGTGCTGCTGCCGCCTCAACAGGGGGCTGGTGTCCTTTTCTTGCTGCGGAATCTTACTTAGTGTGTGTCACACCCTTCTGTCTGCCCGCATGCACCGTGCCTCCCCAGGTTGTTTCAGTCCATGCGCCGTCGTATTTCCTCGAGGGATAGTTTCTCTCGCAGCAGCTCGCAGCACTCGGACAAGCAGCAGCAGCAGCAGCAGGCTGATCACCACCAGCAGCCGTCGCAACAATTAGAGACGGCTCATCAGCAGCAGGAGGCAGGGGTTGCAGCAGCTCCGGGCAGTCCTGGAGCAGACAAGAGCGAGGGGGGGGGAAGCCTTGTTTATGGCGTCAGTGCAGCCACCAGACACGGCACTCGAGATCGTCTGCTGCAAGCGGACAGCCTCAAGACCAAAGATGTTGAATTTCCGCGGTGCGTCACCTTCTGTGTGCCGCTCTTGTTTACTCGACATCCATGTGTTGCATCCACTACAGACACACGCATATATACACACACACACAGACACATATATACACACACAGACACACATATACACACATATACACACACAGACACACATATACACACACAGACACATACACACACAGACGCTCTTTGTAAACACTGCTGCCGGCCTTATTATATTGGCATCAGCGCTGCTCCACCTTGTGGATTGTTTTTGGCGGGTTGAATCGGCTCTAGTGGACCCTTCCTTTACTAGTGGAGTGGGGACAGGGAGGCGTCGTCACATACGGGAGCGCTGGTGGGCAAGTTGTGTCTACCATCTCCTGCGGCTCAGTGGATAAAACATAGTGCGGTCGCGCGCCGTTCTTGTGGAGTCGAGAATGTGTTTCTTGTTGCTTGTCGTAAAGGAGGCCTTTGGTTCTGCGTGCACCCCCGCAGCAGCGCTTCTCTCTTGGATTGAGATGGGTTATTCTGTTGCATGGAGAGGCCATGATTGCTCTGGCATTTTTCTGCAGGCGCATAGTCGGCAACCCTAATCCTGGAGTGCGTGCCTTACTGCTTGGGAGGCCTCCTCAAGCGCAGCCCCCTTCGCCCTTTCCTTGTGACTTGCCGCCTCTGATGGAGGCTCCCGTCGGTGATCGGCCAGAGCTTTTTCGGAAGAAACTTGCGGTGCGGCTTCCCTCATGACTCAGCGGGCAGCTTCTACGGCTGTTGCCAGTCGAGTTCTCCTCGTTTCCCTGCGCATGACTCTGGAGCGCCAAGAAGAGATAGCGACGGCGGCAGGGTCAGGCTGATGCTGTTTTTGTGGCTGGGTGTGCATGCGCGTCTGTCTGCACGCAGGCGTGCTGCATAGTCTATGACTTCGATTCTCCTGATTTTTTGCGGGACAAGGATCTCAAGAAGCAGGCGCTCATCGAGATTGTTGAGTGAGCAGCGCCGCTGAGGGGTGCTGCCCCTGGTGTTGCTGAACGAGGACTGCATGCATGCAGTCCTCGTTCAGCAGTAGTGGTAGCAGCGTGGTGATGTTTCCTCGTGTGTTGGATGGAGAAACGAGTCCTTGCAGGCGGGTGTATCTTGGCTGCAAGTAAACCTGCGGGAGCTCGGCCGACAGGAATGGGGGTATTGCATGCATGCAAGAGGATAAGAACTTGAGACTTTGAATCTGCGCGAATCGAGAGTTATTGATTTACACGGTGCAGGCAGGCATGCGTAGAGGCTTCAAGACTCTCTCGTATTATCCCAAGAGTACAGCGTATTTATGAATAGATATACATATATCTACATGTATGTTTACAGATATGTACATATATGTATATACATATATGTATATACATATATATGTATAGGCCATGTGTATAGCTGGAGTTGCCGCGTGTATGTATGTGTGCATGTTTTGTGCGACTGCAGATATGTAAACAGCACGCGTCACTGCTTTTCAGAGCAAGTGTTGCAGGACGTCATGGACATGGTATCCGCCAACATCTTTAGACCTCTTCCGCCTTCGCAGCACCGGGGTGTTGCGCTCCTGGAACCTGAAGAGGAGGAGCCTCAGCTGGACAGCTCCTGGCCGCATATTCAAATTGTATACGAGTTTTTCCTGCGGTTTATTGTTTCCAATGACGTCAGTGCCAAACTCGCCAAGAAGTTCATTGACCAACAGTTCGTCTTGAAGGTACCTTCGCACTTAAACACTGGCGCTTACGCCTTCTGCCTGGCTCTGTCAAAATCGCTTCCTAAAGTTTCCACCGGCCGTCTGTGTATAGTAAAGCGAATTCGCTTTCCTGCTTTACACGCATCCTTCGCCTTATAAACTCCACAGGGCACTGACTGCCCGCCGTACATACTGTAGAGCAGATGTGCTGGAAACTCCCCTGCGGATCGTCCATAAAAACGAGGCCTACAAATTCCCTTTCCTCCTCCTTCTCCTCCCTTCCTGTGTGGCTTGCGTTTTCGCGGACGATGTGCGCGGTGTACTGGCACGGAAGATAATGCTTGAGAAGCAGCCACCTGACCACGCACAAGGCATTTGCATGCTCTAGCATACGAAACGCAGGGTCTCATGCTTGCTGCCTCGCCTGCTGCTTCTGTTGTGTTGCTAGTTCCTAGATCTCTTCAGCTCAGAAGATCCAAGGGAACGGGATTACTTAAAAACCATACTTCATAGAATCTACGGAAAGATCATGGCCCTCAGGTGCGTTTACATTACCACGGCGCAAGGGGGCCCCCTTTTTTCTCGGGGTAGACGCAACTCACAATGCAGCTTCTCCATGCCCCTACACCCGGAGAAGCAGAGAGGTGGCTAGCATTCTGAGCATTTTCGCGCTGCTCCTACCGTGCCTGCCTGCCTTCGATAGACTTCGGCTTAGTTTCCGACAGGAAGTTGGCTTAGTTTTGTTTATGACAGGGGTTCATCTCATCTGTCGTCCATTCCAAAAAAAAGCCTGCGGCCCTCCCCTGTGCACATCGTGCCACGCCGTGCAGCTTTGTCCTTTTCAGTTATTTTTTCTACTTCACCAGCTCGCTTTCGTCTTTCTTAGGTGCCTTTTCCAGTTTTGTCGTGTTTTTTTCACGCAGATTTTTCGTACGTAAGAGCATCCAGCAGGTCTTCCATCGCTTTGTCTATGAGCAAGAATCTCCGAACGGCATTTCTGAGCTCCTTGAAATCCTTGGAAGGTAGGACGCGCGGAGAGGCCCCTTTGAATTGCATGTACCCAACTTTATTCCCCTCATTCGCAGGATGTGTAGACATGCATACTATCCTGAGAAGTCTTTGGCCTGTATGTAGTAGTCAGTCCTCCTACGCCAATGTGCATAAAGATCATGGTGCATACTTCCTTTCGGAGCATGCAACGTATTTCGGGGTTCGAGTCCTTGTAGACGAAGGCTGTATTCCTGATACACGCACTCACCATGCATATATATATTTACATTTAGGGACTGTGTACGGGGGCTGTTTCGTAGCATCAGATCCGTTATTCTTGGCACGTCATCTGCATGGTTCCCATACGAAGAATAGGGGATTTTGAGGCCTCTGCGGTGCTTCTTTCAAGCACGTCTTTTCCCCCGTTCCTGACCAGCGCGTCTTCATCGTTTGTGGGTTGTGTGTGCCTCTTTTGCGCAGCGTCATCAACGGCTTCGCAGTCCCCCTCAAGCTGGAGCACAAGTTGTTTCTTGAGCGGGTGCTCCTGCCGCTTCACAAGGCGCGGTCTCTAGGCGCATTTCATAAACAACTGACGTATTGCATGGAGCAGTAAGGAAAGGGGCAGTTTTCTGATGCTGCTGCGGGCTGGGCTGTCCTTAGGCGGAGAGGGAGGGGGGGTGAATGCGGAAGGGAGGGCAGCAGAAAGCTTCGCCTTTTTCCAAATCCAGCGTTAATGTTTTTGAGCTCAAGAAACTAGCTCCCGATCCACCTACCACCTCTGCTTTTAAGCCAACCGAGACGCGAGACCGTCTGCTCTTTCCCAGAGGGAGTGTGGGAGGGAGTGGGGGGTCCTCTCAGTGTTCCTTTAATCTCCCTCTGCAGCAGCAGCAAAGATGGTTTCGTGGTGGTGATGTTTGTCTATTTGGAGTTTTGTGTGGATAGAGACTCTCTCTTGCCATGTGCTCGTGTGCATGGGCATGTGCACTTCATGCCCCTCTGTGCCTTCTCCCCTGCTTCGGCTGTCTGCGCGTTGCTGTGCCTTCCTGGCTTGCAAGCGTTCTGTACAGTGCAGCTGCTGCGTTGCGGCCCTTGCGATTTCAGATATGTTGCAAAGGAGAGCCGTGTGGCGGTGCCTATAATTCTCGGGATGGTGCGTTTCTGGCCTACATGCAACGCACCGAAGGTGGTGTTGTTCCTCAACGAACTCGAGCATGTAAGTGTATTGTTTATTGCCCTGCCCGCTGTCACACGCCTCATTCGTGCTGCTCCGAGCTGCATCTGTGTATGTGGACGGGGAAATGCAGGGAGTCTCATAGGGAGTCTCATGGGTTTCTGTGTGTGCTCCCCCCATGGTTTGCGCTGTGGACTGGCTTGCTGGAAACGCCAAGCTGATTCTATGAGTGCCTCGCAGTGTACCGATGCCGATAGTCAACTGCTTGCCTGAAAGCTTCGTGTGCTTGGTGCACTAGCCACTGTGTAGTAGCGCCTCTTCTAGGAAACTGGTCAGGGGAGTGTGACAGCTGCTTCTGCGCCGTTTTTGCCGCTGCGTGGGTTCTTCACAGGTGTTGCAAGAGACGCAGTTGCCGGAGTTTCAGAAGGTGATGCTCCCGCTGTTTGCCCGGCTCGCAGAGTGCATTCAGTCTCCGAACTTTTTAGTAGCAGAACGCGTTCTTTTCCTCTGGAATAATGAGAAGATTGTGAAGTTCATCAATATGAACCGGCCGGTACTATGCGAAGCACCTCAGCGGGGAGGCAGGAAAGGGGGCTAAGTGCTGGAGCATGGTCTACGGGTACTTGCGTGTTGGCGTTTTTGCACATCGTTTGGGGGGCCTTACAGCCTCGGATTCACACCCTAAAAGCGGTGTGCTGTTATCGCCGCAGCTTAGATTCGTATATGGTAGGGTGTCGTGTTTTTCTGGCTTTTTGCGCAGGAGTTGTTTCCCATTATTATCGGTGCACTTTTCCGAAGTTCCCAGCAGCACTGGAGTGTGACAGTGCACACGCTGACCTACAACGTTTCCAAACTGCTAGCCCAGGCAGACACCGCGTTGTTCGACGAGTGTTCAAACAGATTTATTGCAGAGGAGAAACGGTAAGGGCTTTTTTTCTTTATAGGGTCCTCTACTCGCCGGCGCGCTGGCGCGCATGTGATAGATCCACACGTTGCGGTTCTAGCGATATACTGGGTGGGGAACAGCTGGATCTTCATTCTCTTCATCCGCATCGGCTGCAGCCCTTCTCTAAGGCGGGCAGAGGGGTGCGGTGGACATGTGTTGCATGCAGTGCGGGGGATTCGGAAACTGAAATTTTTGTTGAGTATGCGCTGTTGCGGCCTTGTAGCTCTAATTCACTCTCGGAGCGTGTGTGTGTGTGTGTCATGGGATTGCGTTTTGCGTGGACGCGCAGCCGAAAGGAACAGGAAGAAGAGAGGGCTCAACGCTGGGCAGACTTGGAGTCTGCGGCGAAGGGGGGCTGGGTAGTGGCGACTACAGAGACGGAGGAGCAAAAGGCTGTCCCGGCTCACTGACGCCTCCAATTATTGACAGCCACGAATTCGCAGAGTGGCCTTTTCTCTGCTTGCACGCCTTCTCCTTCGTCTGTTACTCCCCCTCAGATAGGGGGCGGCATGCTGAGGGGTTTGCAGGGGAGTAGGGAGTTCCTACGGGGATAATGGGTTTTCTTTCGGCTTTGCGGGACCGTCAGGATAGGGAGTACGAGACTCTGCATATGCAAACAGTTCATTGGTTTGCACGCAGCCACATTTGTTGTTACTCTCGTCTGCCCTTCCGATTCTTCGCTTGATATTTGTTTCTCGCGTACAGAGAGGCAGATAGAGGGTGTCTGTCACACGCAAACTGCACGCCGAACCGAACAGGAAGGTGTGTTGCGCTGCGGTAGACTATTGCCCTTGTGTGCAAATAATATCGAGATTGGTGGATGCAGGTTTCGTGTAAACGCACAGATTGACCTGCGCAGTGGTGCGAAAACACACGAATCTCTAGGGTATTTTCTGCAGTGGTCAGCCTGCATCTGACTCCGTTCAGCTGTGCGTAGGAGTTGTTACAGGTGCCCTTGAACGCGGGTCGGTGGGCGTAGGCACTTGTCCCAATATGCATCGTTGCACGTGGATTAGCGCCGCTTCACTCGGCGAATTTGGGGGGAGGGGTTAGGGAGAAGCTGCTTAGAAACGGCGACTATGCTAGGAGCCTGTGTGTCTAGCTTTTTGGCAAGGGCAGGATCGGGCTATGCTGCGGATGCTGAGGGCAGTGCGTGCGCGCTCCAGCCATTATTCATTTGAGGCGGAGCCTCAAAACCCCACATTCGCCACTCGACCTTATAGAGGGAAAAAATGAGGCCGGCGAAATCGGAGCGGCTGCTTAAGAGCGAAATCGACGAGCGCCCATGAGGGGGGCCGCTGCCTGAAGGCTTCCTGAGAGAACCGAAGAAGGGCACTTTAAGTGCATGCACGCTTTCACACATGCACGTGGCAGACTGCACAGGCAACGGGAGAAGGCTTCTCAGGCCTTGAGGAGCAGCCTAGAATACCGCGTGCTGCCCCTCTAGTTGCTCCTGTAGAAGGCGCAGCAGACGATGGCGCTGCTGCAACCGAATGCCTCGTTTCAAGCGCTCTTCAGCTTCACGGAGTTTCCCCTTCCTCGTCTTGCTGCTATCACCAGTTACGGTGCGGTGCCTAAGTGTCTCTGTGGAGTCGAGCTTCACTCCGACGCCCCTACCTGCAGCAGCGGCGGCAGCCGCAGCCGAGACCTCTTCTGAATGCCTTCTGCAGTGCTGGTGGCTCTCTTCCTCCGAGTGATCACCTGCAGTTGCCTTCCTAGTATATCTGTGTGCTTGCCTCTCTTGAAGGGACGCCGTCAGCTGCATCCCCCTGCTGCAACTTCTGCTGCTGCCGTTGCTGCCATCAATCGGATGCCTGCTGCGGCGCAATCTCCCTTGGCTTTTACACCTCATACGTTCGCCCTTTTTACTTCTTCGCGTGTCACTGGATGTCTCCTTCGGCGTTCTCGCGCCTCTGCTACTGCTGCTGCTGCTGCTACTGCTGCTGCTGCTGCTGCTGCTGGGCTGCGCTCTGCGGGTTCCCCGCTGCCGACGGTGATGCATCCGGGGGAGGCGTAGCGCCGCGGCTAGCAGCTGCAGCAACTGATTGCCTACAGTTTCCTGAGTAGGTGGCTGCTGCAAGTCACTCTCATGCTGCAGAAGGCCTCTTTTATCTTTTTTACCGACTGGCGAGAGGCTAACCGCTGCAGGTCCCCGCTGCTGCTGCTGCTGCAGATGGGAATCTTGTTGATGGTGCGGAAAAAGCTGCTGCTGCTGATGGGTTTCTTGTTGATGTTGCGGAAAGAGCTGCTGCTGCTGATGGATTTCTTGTTGATGATGCGGAAAAAGCTGCTGCTGGCGTGGCTGTAGCACTCTAAGGCACCCTGCACACGCCAGAGTTGCCGAGGTGTGCAATGTAGTAGCACCACAGGAGCCATGCAGGCAGCAACAACATGCCCTGCTATTAGGAGTGCTGCTGCTGCCACCAGCTGCAAGGGGGGGCAGCAGACAGTCGTGAGTATGAAGATTGAAGGGTTGTGCCTCGTTGTTGCCGGCAGTGCGGCCGCTGTGAGCCTCGGCTGCCGCAGCTGATGCCCACAGGGGACGCTCACAACTACTGCCAAGCGGAAATTGACTGCAGGAGCAGACTGCTCGGGAGGCAGGAAGAGGCAGAGGAGGAGGAGGAAGAGGAGGAGCAGCAGCACCAGCAGCAGCAACAGCAGCAGCACCAGCAGCGGCAACAGCAGCAGCAACGCGAGTCGTTGCTGCTGAGCCATCCTCCGCTTCTCCTGGGAGGGCTGCTTCGGCTGCACAAAAGAGATCTTTCTCCGTGAGCTCTCGGATCGACCTGTTTGCTTCTCCATCAACAGAAACGTCTGGTGCCCGTTCAGATAAGACTGGACAGGCAGGATCTCGAGTTGCTGGAGCAGCACACCCTTTGGAGAGGAGAGCTTCGGCGGATGCTGCTGCTGCTTCAGCCATCACTTGCTGGCTAGCTACACGAGCATCGGAGGTGCCCGATGCTGCGCGTGGTGGTGAGCTAGCCAAAACAGCTCCATTTGTTGCAGAGACTGCGGAACCTGGCTTAGGAAGAAAGGCGATTTCTGCTGCTCCTCCTACGTGTGCTAGAGCTCGAACGTCCAGCTGTGGCTTCTCTTTTAGTGAACTTTCTGCTGCTTCAGCATCGTCCTCCGTTGCAACAGGTGCGCTTAGTGGTGCAGCTGCGGCTGCACTTGTTGCCACATCTGCTGCATCCGCTTCGATTTCTGCTGGAGCTCCTGCCGCTGCTATTGCTCCTGCCTCTGAGGCTTCCTCTGCCTTGGGAGCCGCTTGTGCAGCTTCCTTTGATACCTCTGTTATTGTGGCCTCTGGTGCATCTACTGCTGCTGCTGCTGCCTCTGATGCTTCTTCTGCCTCTGCTGGGAGGGTCGCCCCTGATACCTCTAGTAGTGCTGCTTCTGCTGCTGCCTCTACTGCTGCTACTTCTGGTGGCTCTATTAGTATTGCTGCTGCTTCGATCGCTGCTACCTCTGATGGCTCTATTACCATTGCTGCTGCTTCGCTTTGAGCTGCCTCTGATGGCTCTATTATCGTTTCTGTTACCTCGATTGCGGCTGCCTCGATCGCTGCACTCTCCGGTGCTTCAATTGCTACTGCTGCCTCTGGTGCATCTGCTGGTGTCTTACTGGTTGCTGCCTCTGCAGCTGCTTGCGACTCTTGCGTTGCTGCTGTGCCTGGGGAGGCTGATCGCTGATGCTGCTGCGCGGCTGTTGTCATAGCCACTCCCTCCACGTCTTCCGTTTGTCGCTTCGCCTTCGCCGTCCCTGTGAGCTGTTGTTGCCGCAGCGGCTGTTTCAGACGTGTAGCAGTTCCTTTTGAGGTGCTCTCCCGCGGAAGCTGCATGATGCCCTTCTCGCGCTGCAGGCGTTGTTCTGCCTGCTGCTTTTGTGGCAGCCCTTCATGCGTTGGTTCCGCTTCTTCAAGGTGTCGCGTCTGCAAATCTGCCACGTGTTCTGCTGCTGAAATCTGGCCTTCTCCATAGGGCCCAGTCCTGTGCGGCTTTGCGTGCTCGCTCCTTTGCCATGGCTGGTGCTGCTCCTGTTGACATTCCCACCTTTTTCGAAGCTGCTGCGCAATCTGGTGCCTGTGCTGCACGTCTGCATGGGGGTGTTCAGGCCTGGATAGATCGGCTGCGCGTCCTTGCTGCTCCCGTCCTCGCTGAATCCGCTGTTGCTGCGGTGACGTCTGCGCTTGGCTCACAGCCGAGTCATCCGGCGACTGCGGATAGCAGGAAGAATCGGGGGAGAGACGAAAAAGGAGACTGTCACTCAGACGAGGAGACTTTACACCCGCTGCTGCTGCGGGTGCTGCTGCCTCGCCAGTTGTTTCAGAGAGAGCAGCAACAGAAGGCCAGTCATCCTCTTCACGCGCTGTAGAAACAGCCAAAGATTCATCGTGTGGCTCGAGCCTTCTTGCTTCCTCAGGTCCCTCTGGCGACAACTGTTGCAACTGCTGCAACTGCTGCTGCGCATGCGGGATCTGCTCTTCGTCTACCCCGAATGCGTCTTCCAGCGCGCTGAGCGTCAGGCAACCTCGCCGCCTCGTCATCGGCGTCCATAAAGTCGGACTGTGATTCAGATGCTGTTGAAGCGCAAGGCATTCAGCTGCAGCAGAAGGAGAAGGCTCTCTGTGCATTTGCTCCGATCTCCGCTGTCTGCCCCGGGAGGTATATGTCTCTGAACGGTCTCGTGCAGTGCGCCGGTGTCTGCTGCTGCACGTTCGGCAGCGCGACATGCAGCAGCAGCTGCTGCTGTGGCTAGACCCGCTACTGCGTCTACTCCTGCAGCTGCTGGTACTTAAGAAGCCAAGACGTCGCTTGATGCGGGCAATAACTTTCTCCGGCGATGCCTGCAAGAGAAACTCTTCGCGGCTCCTCAAGGACGCAGATGCACGAGATCGCGTTTTGTAGCCTCTGCCCGCCGTTGCAGATAGCAGCGATCCCGACGCTGCTGCAGCTGCAAATTCTGCGCTGCTCCTACCCAACACGGGGGAGTTTACGGGCGAGAAAACATGCGTTTCCAGGTGTGGCGGGGAGGGGCTTAGGACGCCACTCGATTCCTCTTCCAGCAGAAACTGCGGCGCGCGAGCAGCCACACACAAACACACATAAACGCAACATATGCAGACGATCGCAAGATGCATGCAAACGTAACACATGCAGGCAAACGAAATACATGCAGACCAACGCAACACATGCAGACAAACGTAACACATGCATGCAAACAAAACACATACAGGCAAACGCAACACATGCAGACAAACGCAACACATACAGGCAAACGCAACACATGCAGACAAACGTAACACATACAGGCAAACGTAACACATACAGGCAAACAAAACACATGCAGACCAACGCAACACATGCAGACAAATGCAACAACACATGCAGACCAACGCAACAACACATGCAGACCAACGCAACACATACAGGCAAAAACAGCACTGCACCAACTGACAACAAAAGTTGTTCACCCTGCTTCCTTCTGTGTATATCCTGGCCCCCCTTTCCACCACGCATGCATATGGCTCAGCGCTTCGCGCGTTCGTCGAGAATGCAGCAAGGCTCTTTAAAGTACATCTGGAAAAGACTGACGCTGCTTAAAAGGGTCACTAATTATATGGGGGCCAGGGGGGGAAAGGGGTGTACCGCTGAGGAGAAGTTGAGCCACTGGCTAATTAAGGATTCCCGCTCGCCTCTGCTGCCGCTGTTGCTGCTGCTGTTTCTCCCCATGGTAGAAAAGGGAGGCCAGCAGGCATTTGACAGCTCTTCAGGCTGCTGTGACGGTGAAAACATTGCTTCCTGCGGCAGCAATATTCACAGGCAAACGCAACGCCGGCTCCAGCGGAAGATTCCCCCCTTTCTTAAACATCGCATGCTCTTCAGCACGCGTTTGCTCTTTCGCTGCCACTCTCAGCGATATCCCTCCTCCATCGCCGCTGCAACTGCAGCAACCGCAGCAGCAAATCTATTAGGCGCCTCAAGGGCACGCAGTAATGCACCGCGGAGAATCCAAACCACCCTGCAAGACAGTACCTTTTGGGGAGGCTTTCGCTGACAGAGGGAGCTTCGAGGAGCTGTCCAACTTCTGCCCCTTCTCGACGACTTCGAGCCGCAACTTCTGCTGCTGCCGCTTCTGCGAACTCCACTGCTGGCAGTGCTGTCTCGGCTGCAGCGGCTTCTTCTTCTGCCTCCACTGCGTTTGCCTTCGTTGGACGGAGCACCCCGTCGATCGCTTCTTCTGCCTCGAGTGCGAGACTTCCCCCTTCCTCCGCTGCTGCTGCTACCAGAAGGCGGCTTCCTTGTGCCGCCTCTGCGACCTTTCGAGGCTTTTCGCGTGCTGCTCCTCCTGCTGCTCCTCCGACGCACCCGTGAAGCATAGCGGTAGCTGTGCTCTGCGTTGCCTGAACGCCGTTCCCAACGGCGCATACCGCTGCTGCTGCTTTTGCTGCTAGTACTGCTATTGCTGCTGCTATTGCTGCTGCTACTGCTGCTGCTATTGCTCATCTTTGCTGCAACACGCCTGCGCACTCGCGAGAGAACTTTATTGACAAGATGCCGCGGGGTTTCTTTCTCCAAGATACCCGGATATAATACCTCCCTGCTGCTGCTGCTGCTGCTGCTAGCGCGTCTGTGTGCTGTGGAGGCCGATGCTGCCGCTCCTTCCTGCAGCAGCGTCACCCCTTGACTCGGAAGCACATGCCCAGCATCTGCCAGAGCCACTCCAATTTCTGTTCCAAGTTCTTTTCGCCTATTTCGAGGGCTGCTGCTGCTGAGGGCCTCCCCTCTTCCTCCAGGCTGCGCTCCTGCTGCTCCTGCTGCTGCTGCTGCTGCTGCTGCTAGTGCAGCGGATGCTGAAGCGGCTGCACTAGCATCCGTATTTTTAGCATTTTTCTCTGTTGCTGCTGCTGGGGGGCGCTGTGCAGGGGCCCTCCGCCCCTCTATGACGAGATCCAGCCGCACGTTGCTCTTTGCGGAGTTCTTGGATAGCGATTGCTCGAGCGACTCCTTCTGTTCTTGCTGCTGCTTTGATTGCAAGTGCTGAAGATGCTGCTGCAAGCGAGGCTGCTGAACATGCTGCTTTGATGCATTTATGCGCTGGCGTTGCGCAAAGTCGCTGCGGGCTTCGACGCGCCGTGCCGTCTGCAATGCAGCAGCAGCCTCGGTGTCGCCAAAACATTTCTTCCGCAGTCGAGCAGTCGAACTCAAGCTATTTCCGCTGCTGACTCCACAGGAGGGGAGTGTATACGATGCAGATGCAGCGGGCAGGATGTATACCGATTTAAGGTCTTTGGCGAAGCTCATGTGTTGGCGCTGCAGATGGCGGAAGGAAGCCCCTGAGCCAACAGCAGAGGCGCTGTCTGGCATTCCTATTTCGCTTTTTCGGTGCAAAGTCTGTGGCGTAAGCTCCTCATCTAAGGTTGAGGCCATGGGGTGTTTTTGGTCGGGCTGCCTTGCTGAAGTGCAGGAAGCGCCTCAGCAAGCGACTGCCTTCAGGCAGGGGGAAGGTATCCACCCGGAGGGGGCTCTTGTGCCTCCGATACTTCTCTGGATTCCCCTTCATGCAGTGTTGCTAGACCGCTTGCTTCTGCTAAAGCTGCATCAGCCGCAGAAAGGCTTTGGCTTTTGCACTAGACGATAAGATTGGGCCTACCGGGAGTGCCGGCGTGGCGGCAGCAGAAGCAAATTTAAACAGCTGCTGCTGCGATTTGATGAGCGGCGAGGAAGAGAGGCGCAGAAGACGACCTAGCGTCTCAAGGGTAGGGGGGAGGCAATGCGTTGAGGTGATGTAGCGGGAAGGGCGGTTTCCATACGCGGGCCTCCCCGTACTTGTTTACAGGAGATTAAAGCAAAGGTGGGCTCCTTAGACCCCTCCTGATCAGTAGCTCGCATGCACGTACTGCTTTTTAAGGAATAAAGGTGTGCCTCTGCGCCGCCTCCTCCCGCGTGCTGCTAGGCGTCCTAGCGCAGGAACGGGTGACCAACGCGGGAGCAGATCCAGAGGTTAGAAGTGCCAGAAGACGAGATCCAGGCTAAATGCGGCAAGGCTGAGGACTGGCAGCCAAAGAGGAGTGTGTGTTACTGCAGCCTCTGGAAGGGGGTCGAGCGGGACGGCTGGGGCCAGTGCAGGGAGCTCCGCGCATAACAGAGAAAGCGGAGAGCAGCTGCGCAGTTAAAGCTAAAAAAGATGCCCAAGCGAATGGAAACAGCAAAAAAGTCCAAAGGGTCCATCTTCTATCCATTTTCACAGGCGGATCAGGCAAACGGGGGGTCTGGCCCGACCAGTCCCACTGACTGCCGCCGACAACCGCCTCGCATTCGGGGTTTCACTGCTGGTCAGCCGACGAATCTCGAATGTGCTACTATAATCAGTGATTAAGAATAATATGAAACGTAATGCAGAGACGGCTTGATATTCCTCTGCCCCCTTCCCAAAATCATCGCATATCTCCTGAGGGCAATCTGGGAAGGCAGCGAAAATGCCACTCCAGTGAAGCGAACCCAATGAGCAATTAGCAAACGCGGAGAGCCATACAGTCGTCCTATGCCAGTCGCACTCTTTAGGGTGCATAGAAAATATTCGCTTTTAATTCAAAACAAACTAGACGAGAGCTGTAACAGAGACACCCCACAAACTCCCATGGGTCATTGTAGGATTCAGACATTTGCCGGGTGCACCCTTTTCCATCAGCTAAGGTGTTCTCTCTTCAAGTATATTGGTGAGCTGCTAGGGTCAGCATCGGTGCGCTGGCGGCTTCATAGGACAGCCTATCTTTTACAGGCAGTTTTGCCTGCCAAATTACCCTAGTTTTAATCAAGAGGAAAAGCCTAGACACTCTGCCCTTACCCATCAGAAAAGTAATCTTTCCTCCTTTATCAAGGTGACCCGGTCAAAAGAGTTAAAGAGTGGTTGCTAGAGATCTCCCATTCGCTTCTAGAAAAAAGCTGTTTCTCTGCCTTCTCACTTCCACGCAATCCTGCACACAGGCGAAAGAAGGCTATTCAGAAACTTGCCAGTAACAGTCCTTAGATCAGCCCCTACAAGTACGTAAAAGTCAGAAGCCAAGCGTGAGTGTACGCGCTTTTGATTTTAATGCTGTAAAGATATGCGTATCCTCCAAAGGATACAACACAAAGAGTCCCAAGCCACACACATGCCCTATGCAGTTTTTGCAAATCATGAGCACTATTCGAGATAACACTCAACTACGTGTAACATCAACCAAAACAGGTTTTCCGGTTGCAGGGGCTATGAATGCACCTGTTAGACGGCTGTAATACTCTGCATCATTATCATAAGCGTATGCAGCCACACGCCCTTCACCATATAGAGCTACGACCCTAGGAATCCCATGCCATGTTTGGCTGTGTTGAAAGCCCTCACAGGATGAGGAGATTGAATGGCAAGCGAATAACTTTTTGAAAAGAGCAACGAGCACAAATCAACAAGAGACCTTAAGTATAGCTTGATGTGGTGAGAAAAACCGAAGGACGGTGGCGCACTTGCGTCAACTTGAGGCCCCTAGCCAAGATCTCTGTAAAGTAGTGGCTTTCAATGCCTCATACGTGCTGACAACTTGACAAACCACAAAACCGCATAGTCTGTTCAATATTCTTCTTTCCAAATTCTTTCTTCGATGCTCCAATTTACCCCAGCCACACGTTCGAAGCAGCATTCCACACTCGTAGTGGAAACCTCGAAGATACTTGTATGGCGTTTGTATTTGCTAACGCCACAGCTGAGATGCACTGGCAGGGTAATCCAAACTTTTATTAGCCGTTCAAGACGGGCTGTACGGATGTGCTGGTGGAAAGGTTTGTAGGAGTCGAGAATAAAACAAGAGCTCCTGCAACACCTACGGCAGGTGCTTCAGCTGTTGAGGGCTAAGCAATGGTATGTGAAGATGCACAAGTGTTCAAATAACAATTCTATATATCAGATTCTATATTATGTTAGTACGACGCGGGCCAGAATCGGCAGAAAAATCGAAACAATTACGGCACGGCCTTTACCATAACGCACCAGTAAGGACGTTGCGAAGGTTCATGAGCTTGCATCTTCCTATCCAAATTTCATTCCTGGATTGCTTGAGGCTTTGATTTTTGCCTAATGTGATATGGGAAAGACCCTTGGTCACCCAGAGAGAGGGAGACGATCCGCCAGCAATGATGATTGGCAGCTGCTTTTCCACTCGTCGGGTACTTGCGGTGCGACAATGAGCGCCATTTCTGAACAACGAATACTAGTGATGTAGTAGTGGCTGCTACTCTCCCAACAGGCTACGGCTCTCCAAGCTGCCAAATTATTGATTGTTGTTAGCATCGTTTACCTAGTCCGAGCAGCGGAGTCCAGTACCGGGCGTTAAATCCGCCAGGACTATTTCTACGGGTTCCAATTTGATATGCAGACCCACAATATGGCTTTAACGACCTCACCAAAAGCTTTTATAGCTTTTAATACCCCTTAGTGGTTTGCTGCATTGGGCGCCTCCTGCAGTCTGGCATTTTAGTAAAATGTAGTAAAAGTGCCACCAGTGTGCTCGCCAACGCGTTCTCCCGACGCCTCAGCGATTCAATATTGTGAAGCGCAGCCGCTCTTGTATGTAATGATTTGCAGATTAGCAAATTTATTAAAATTGAGTGAGTCATAGGCGTTTGACACCCATGCACCCGCCACTATTGTCAAAATCTAGGTTGGCGAGCGGTTAAACGTTGCCGCGTTGAGGATGGCCTGCTGTGATTCAGAACAAAGTAGGGACTCCCTCATGCGCACATTCTGACTTCGCTTCGCAGTATCATTTTGCGTGAGGCACATGATCATGTTCTTTGGGGCCATGATGGAACTCTCATTACAATGAAGAACACTTCACAATCCTATGGAGGCCCTCGGATGCGTCCCCCGGCAGAGAAGCATGCAATTTTATGCTTAGACTGTTAGCAGCTCAAGCTCCGCGGCTATCTTTATCCCGGCGCGTTTGTAGGTCCTCCCGGCTCCTGAATATATTGCACTGACCTGATTATGGGCTCTATTGTTGATCTGCCGGATGTCAAAGGTCAGGATAGCATCTACGTCGGTGTCGACAGATCACCGAAAAAAGTCCATCGTATCCTTTGACCCAAGTCTGTCAAGGCTCAAAATATCTCTCAGCTATTCTTAGTGTATTGCTGGGGTATCGTAGCTTCATGAGCAGCGGGAGAGGGATCCGAAGCTCGGCGATGTGTTTTTGCGTGCGTTTGTGGCAACCATCACATTTAATATTGTGACAACTGAGGGACCAGCTTGAGGTATATGGACAGCCTCACGCCAAACCCCCCTTCACTGCAGTATTTTCAGCCCAATGGCCACAAAACATTAATATCGTGCCTTTTCCCTCCGTCATGTTTAGTGGCTTCATAAACCCGCAGTACGCTTGTCTATCCGGTGCCTTCCCCTCCCCTCAGCCTACGATGAGGTGACTTCCATCCGGGCCTCGACCTTGCAATCCGGGGTCAGTAACTCTCGTTAGCAGCGGAGGGGCTCAGGAAGCAGCTGGATATCGCAACCGAATGTGATAGGTCAGCTCAAGAAACAAAAACACGGAATTATGACAAGCTGCGGTCGGCTGTGAATTTTGAGGCTAGATACTTAATAATCCTTGTGGATTGGCAGGCTTTACAAGATGCGTCAGAGCTATATATATATTGGCTTGCCTTAAAACTGCAAAGCTCTCCAAAGTATTCTCTAATTTTCCACGTAGGCAGATGACCCTTGTGGAGGATGCAATTGGCCAAGGAGATGTACATGTGCTGGATTGGGAGATTATCGAGCGCCAACAGCACAGCAGACGGGCGTTTCTAGTGAACTGGAGTGGAAATCATCAACCTCAGTGGTTGATGGAGGAGCAAGTGTGGGATTCGCTACCTGAAGGAGAATCTGCGGCTTTCTAGTGCCATGGGCGGTATTTCGTGCATTCCTAGATAAATGTCTTTGTCAAGCGGGTACTCTGCCTGGATTAGATACCTTTATGCGTGGGGTTCGCTTTACAAAATACTGCTTCTGATTGCTATGATGTTCTCAACACTGTTGTTCATGGGCATTCTGAGGCTTTTTGTCCCGGCATCCTTCCTTGCGCCTCTGTTGGGGCTTTGCAATTGATTGTGCATCATTTTCCGGCTGTTTTAGCAAGCGTACATTGCTCTATGATCCACGGGGGCACTGCTAATTTAGTATTTGCTTTGATTTTTCCTACTCACTTTACTCATCCTCTGTTTTCTCGTAGCGGGGGGCCCACAGATTTCTGCGTTCAGACGAAAGTGAGCAACCGCGCCACCACACAATCATATTGGCTTGGTCCTTATTTCGCTGTTGGCTAGTGTGTGTCTTTTTTCTTGGCTGTTTCACTTTCGCGATTGGCGTACACATTTGTGTATTCTCACTTACACTGGCTGCCGCGTTTCTGGCTGCCTGTGGAACGGCACTTGTGCGGATTTTTTCCAACGTCCTGCACGCAGTTAGTATCAAAGTAAAGGTAAGGAACACGATGGCAGGCTGATCAAATGATGAAAGGAGAAAAGGTGTGGCAGGCCGTACATGCTCTGTGCAGCTAGCTGTGAATTCTTAGAGTGAACAGAGGGTGCAGCTACACGCAGCCTAGCTGTCCCCTTCCCTCATGGCATTAGCTCTGAGGGGTGCGGGCAGAAAAAGGAAGATGCTCTTTCAGGAAACACTCAATAGCTCTCTTTAAGTTTCTACTGGATCTGGAGCCAAGTGTCTCCCCACGAAGCTTTTAATGGGCTGGGACAGTGTTTATACGGAACCGCTTTTAGATTTGACCAAGTAAATGAAATGGCAACAGATTCGTAAGCAGCCCTGCAAAAGTGCTCTTTCCTTTGTCCATGCCCACATCACCCTGCAGGCTATCTGAGTGAGGGGAGAGTACCAGCTAGGACGGATGGGCTGTGCTGCACCTCCCTTGCGCTACAAGCTTTGATTCACGGCATACTGCTCCAAGCATTGTACGATCAGACAAGCCAGTTAGCTAATCATTTAGTAGTGCTTAGTTAAATACACCAGTGTAGCGTGGCCCTCTACGCCTGGCTCCTGGGTTAAATAGATAGACCCGTCAGCTGGGTCGGCTTGGAACAGCTTCAAACTGTGTGTATGTAAGTTGTAGATCCCCTAATACAGGGAGTTTTTGCTTGAATACACCTAGTGCTTGTCTGTGGTTAAAGCGTGGAGGGAGCCCGTAGCAGCTTATGCGGTGCATGCCCAGGCCGGCGGGGCTGTCTCTCCAGGGATCTGAAGTCACTGCCGGTATGTGTCGAAAAAGATTCACCACGCATCTTTATGAACTCGATAGCCTTTATGGTCAAGTATATTTGCCACCAAGGCCTACCCTTCGCCGTGAGCCTCTGACCATCGCTCGCTCGAGGAGCTTTTCGCCACTTTGCGCATTTCTTGTCGCTCTGCCGCCGATTGACGGCCCTTCCGAGCAGACAGGACCCTTTACGACCTATCCAGAACCACTTTTTCGTCTCAACCAACACAAGAGTCGGCTTCTGCTCGAGGGCTGCGATACCACGGGGACGGTCCCGTTCCATTCAACCATTGTGGACACAGCGGCATATGGCTGAAATGGCGTTAAGGAGTAAGATTTCCGAAGCCTCAGGCAGCTCGAGCAATTCTGTGGAGCCATGGCGGCTGTCTAATGCTGGACTTGGTGAGGCAGAGCCCTGAGCTCCTACCTCACTTGCGTTGCGCACTATCTCTCATAGAATGGGAAGAAACCCCGATACTTCAAGACTGTGGTTGCCGGGATCATTCTTAGCACCTGATGTTTCTTTAGAGTGTTTAATCATTGTAGTAGACTTCGTTAATACAGCCCATTCCGTGCGCTTGGGGCAGCAGATATGACACGTAAAGACTGGAACGTTGCTGGAAGGGGCTGGTCTCCTTGGAACATGCCTGTATGTATGTGTATGTATATCTGTCTGCATACATGTATGTATATTTGTTATCCATAACATTTTTGTATGTATACATGTATTTGTGCGCGCCTTACATGCCGTAGATGCTTCAGAACATGCACCGAGAGTAAATATTCTTTTGATTTCTTACTTCAGGGGCTCGTATATACTCGACAGTCTCCTGGCTCGCAGTTTCAACGGCGACCTTCGCAGCGCTGACTGTACCGAGACGCAAGGAATGGTAAGCGTCATGATCTGCCTTCAAGCACCCTGAATCTTGGATTCTATACCCTGTAATACATGAGGGCTGCATTTGGCCATGAGCCGTGTGAAGAGCAGGTTTCTAGATATCGGCTAATTTTCGACAACGGGTGGAGGGGTTGCTGTCCGTGCCTTCATTTGCCCAGACTTCGTCGGGCCGCGGCATCCTGGACGCTTGAAACACCGAAGTTGGGAGTCTGCCGTGATAGGCTATACACAAATGTATATATCTACGTGCGTATGCGTGTGGGTAGGGTGGACATCTGCCTGGACTACATGTATCTGAAGCGCCAGCAGTACCTTCCAAATGTGTATAATTCTATTTACCAGTTTCTTAAGAAGGTCCCTAAGTGACCTTGCCAGTACTATCGCTTTTCTTCGGGTGTCGGAGCTCCTAATCATGCTGTGACTTCTGCGCGACCGTCTTGAACGGCGGTCCAAGATTAAGCCCACTAGAATTTTTTTTTGGTGGGTGCAAGGCCCTTGTGTGGGCCTTTCCACTAGTGTACATATCCCGATAACCGGACCGGGAGCCTGGAATTCTTCTCGGGTAAAACGATCTTCTGCTCTACAGGCGGGTCACGGAGGATCCGGAATGCTTCAGCCGCCCACAGCATGCAACTTTGGGAGGGGCTGGATCTCTTTTAACTAGAGGCACCCTGCACATCCATCAGCTAGCTTCCTGGTAGTTCGATTAAAGGAGTGGAGTGTCTAGGCTTAAAGTGCCAGGACACTACGCTTAGGAGACGCCCTTCCCTCTTTTCGAGGAGACACATCCCCAGATCGCCGGGGAGAAGAAATAGGCGTCGCACCGCAGGGCAGTGCCGAGATTGGACTGCATTGTAGAAGTACCTGTCCTACCAAACCCGCATTGTCCAGGGGGTTGCGATGCGTAGAGTGCTAGGAGTAACGGCAGCGGGTAGGAGTGCGCTCTGCTGCAACTACAGCCGCGCCTGCGATTTGTAAAGGGCTAGACCCTTGTTGCTTAGTTTTCATACCGCCCATTTCGGCTTTAAGAAGGAGCGCAGCGTTGCTACTTTCTAGGGGTCGCGCTGCTCAGGAAATCCAATGGGAAGTGGGATACGTACAACAGCCCGTCTAATTACCTCTGCTTCCCTCCTCAAGGGTTTCACTAAACCTCGATTTCTCCCCTATGGAAGTCAGTGCGCCTCCTAGCTGGAGACTCGCTCATACTGGGACTCTACACCGGCCTGCCCAGTGCATGTAGTTCGCGGTCACAGTCCGCCACACCCTCCTCTGCTCGCCTTCCTTTCGCCCGCTCGATGTTGCAGTCCTCCAAAGAAAAGAAGACGCTGCAGGCTTGTAGAAAGCACTCTCGCGCCTGACACACCAACTTGGACCTTGTCTCCGCTTCCCATTCCGCGGAGTATATCACATTGCCACTGTGTCCTATCGCTGCCGCTGCGCGTGCTGCCTCTGGGCTATCGCCAGCAGACCACAAACCCCAGGCCTGCTCCACCTCCGCATGTGTATCTGCCTGTGCGAGAAAGAGCAGCATGCGACCCTCCGTAAGAAGATTATCTGCGTGCTGAAGGCTTTTCTGCCCGAAAAGTGTAGCGGCGTTGGCGGACAGCCGCTGGGTCACTGCGAGACCAAGGCCGTTGTAGAGGTCTACAAGGCCCCTAGAGGAGCGGCTTAGGCTCTCCGTAAGAGTCTGCAGTACCAGATTTCCAGGGTGGAGATATTTTCGAACAGTGGCAAAGTGCAGCAGTGCAGCTCTGCTTTCCTTTTGAACCTCCTCGCTGCGCCCATTGCTGCAGAGCCACGCCAGCCGGTGTGCGCTGCTGCGCAACGCTTCAGTGTGACGCAGGAGGCCCCTTAGATCTTCAGACTTGTACGCTGCCCCGCACACACAGCAGCGAATCTGTGGGGAGCTCCCGAACTTACCGCCTTTCCCCCCTGAACCTCCTAGGTCGTGGGGAAGGAGACGAAAGGAAACCGTGTCGGAGGAGGAAGAAGAGGCCGCCGCGATAGAGATTCGCTTTCTGGGAGCCTTTCCGCCAAGTAAAGGATTTTCCGGATACAGTGAAGGGGCCAAATCTGAATCGTCATTCATGCAAAGCCGTATCGTCTCCCACGCCGGGCCCGAAGGCTGCGGCACGCAGAGCACCGGCAAGCGCATGCGCGAGCTGCGCATTGCCTCATCAAGACGCCATACGCCCTCTGAGCTCTCAATGCCCTTGCCATCGACATTCTTGAGGGCCCCTCGTACAACTCCGTGCGGGGAGGCCAGAGGGCCCCTCGAGGGTGTCTCCTTTAAAGGGGATCCCCCGAGCAGCCGCTGTCGGCAGCTCTCCAGGTGCTGCAAAACATCCCCCTCTGCCGCCTGCCGCCGTTCAATGCATGCAGCACTCGAGCAAAAGACTCCCTCAAGCTGCAAATCAAAAGCCTCCGCTGGGGAAAAGGAAAGGGCCGGGAGTCCGTCTGTGGCACTCACGCCTTTGCTGCTAGCGCTTGTATGGCTGCCGCTGACGGCGCAGGAGCAGCAAAGAACACACGTGCAGTGGAAGGCGTAGGCGAGCTGCAACTTCAGCCGCCTGCTTTCTCTGGTGTCGGCTGGAGAGATGTACGAAATGCAGATCTCCTCGCCAGCCGCAATAGATCGCAACGCTATAACAGAGACCTCTAGGGGCCCCCCTCGGCCTCCAAATACCACAAGCGCGTTCGGCTGGCAGGAGTGATTGAATTTGCATACAGGCTGCCCATACAGTCCTACTGCCACTTCCCTCCCGCTGTCGCAGCACAGGCAGGACCCCGCGGAGGGGTCTGCCGACCCCCCAGAGATGTCGCTCCTTGTGATGGAGTGCACATTCGCTGAGAGGCGGTGCAGCAGTGCTGCAATCTCTGGCGCCGCGGGAACCCCATCAGGCCCTGACTGCAAACATCTTCCTCCTGCAAAAGGCCCTTTTAGAGTCTCGGAAAGATCGGGGGGCAGCAGCTGCTCAAGAAGGGCAGCAGAGGCTGCACACGATTCCAAATACGAGGAGAGGGCAGTAGAGGGGCTGCTGTTTGGCGGCGCACTGCACGCGCATTGCTTTTTAAGTTCGACTGAATCTAAAGAGTCCACTTCTGCCGCTAGTTTCTCGGGATGCGCCGCTGCTCCATGGCTGCCCGCAAACTCTTCTGCTGAATGGCCTTCGAGCAGGAGTCGCAGCAGCAGCCGCTGAGTCAGACTGGGGCCTCTGCCTGCCGAGGCTTTCCGAATATCTGGGAGAGACACAGCCGCAGCAGCACACGTGCATGTTGCATAGCTAAAGGCATGCGATTGCGGACGCGCTATAGATATGCCACCTTAGTTACGCAAGGGCCCACCCCTGACGCATCTGGCTTCGCCCCGCTGAAAAATGCGTCAAGCGAGGTGTGTGACCAAGGACTCACGGCTGAAAATCCTGCACTCCAACTTGTGCAGGGGCCAGGCGGCGCGTTGGCATTCGAGGCTGCAGTAGCAGACCGCTTTGCATGCGCCACAACGCTTCGCTGCGGTCCCACTCCGTCCATCGTGCCCTGCATACACTTTGTGGTTGTGGTCGTAAGGAGTGAGGCACCAATCGCAGGAAGTTACTGAACAGGCGCCTGCTTCTCCAGGGGGCCCCCCTGATGAGCGTTCAGACGGATCTTCCTCAGGGGCAAGGGCTGCAGGGCACTCGGGTGCAATGCGGCTGGACCAGACCAGCGGTCTCTGCTGTCTGCACAGCAGCTTTCCCGCCTTTATGAACTCCGAGGCGACAATGCCTCCGCCTCTGTTCCCACCAACATCCGAGCAGACTCTCACGGAGGGTGACAAGAAGATCTTGGGACTGCGCGAGTTCATGCTGCGTCAGTAGTCGCGGGGCTGCCAACGTGGCATCGGCGCCGCTCTCTGGGATCATAAATTGAAAAAAACTCAAGAACACGTAAAGGCAGTCTTCAACGATATCCATCTAGACGCCTGCAAGGGAAAAGACAGAAGCGTCGGCGGGGGCGAGGGCGCTCTGAGGGGGGGGGACAAACGTTCGTCGGCTTTGAGGGGCCCCAACCGAAAGATAAAATAAACGTTAAGCGCGCTTGATACAGAAGAGGTTGCCACTGAATTCCTGTATATTTCTGAAGTGTCAAGCAGTGCCGGAGCAGTAAAGGGAGAGGGACAGGTAGGAAACGGACCCGCACAAGGCCCCGTTTTGTCAGGAAGTCTTTGTAGGGCCCTGCATCGCGCAACTTCCAAAAGGAGGCCGCAGAGCAACGGACAGGTGGTAAAGGATCATGAAGTGATCTATCGAATATACAGGCCCTATTTTGTTTTCTACACTGTAGACAGTGCGCCCGCGGAGCGTGAGAGGCTGACAAGTTTTTTTAGTAGATCGAGGCGCAGTATACGGCATTGAACCGGCGTTCCTGTGAAGGCGGCTGCGCGCCTTAAGGTAGAGACAAGCCTATGCGAAGTCTCCACAGAGCTAATGTAGCAGCGGCTAGTTTAGCCAGGCATCTATCTTGGGGGCGACAGAAGGAAGTCAATTTTAAAAAGCGGAAGGGGCGGCGACCGTTGTATGCTTCGTGCATCTTCGCCTTGCGACCTCTTTCCAAAACACTCAGCAACGAGTGAAGCATTTAGGTCGAAACAAAAAGGAGGGGTGCTTTGCACATCTTCCTCCCGTTTCTGGCCCCCAGAAGCATACATCTTCTATGTTAGTGTGGGCCAGCTCATTGGGGCTAGGACTTGCTCTAGGGTAACCTCTATGCGTCATGTGCTACGATACACTTGAAATTTTCTACCACAGGGGGCTCCCAGCTCACGAGGAAGGGAAGCCACATGGGATGTCTAAGCAGCTGTTCGTCCGTGCTTTCCTCCTCTTTCTTCCACGACCGTAACATCCCCCTGGGGTCCCCCCGAGTGTCAAGAGATCATCTAGTTATATTTGACTATGAATCAGTAAATAAGCGCCTAATTGGTTTGTCTTTTTTTCTCTTTCGCTAGCTCGTATATGATGTTTATTGCACAGTCCAGCTGGCCCGATACAAATAAACGCACTGTTGTGTTCACGGGTAGTCGTTGCTATGTACAACTAGCTCTCAATGCTCAGAGTAGCTAGATAGTTCAGCTGTGCGCACCCTAGCTGTCCTTTCTTCTCATGTCAGGGCTCTGAGAAGCGCAAGTAGGGATAAAGGGAGCTCTTTTGAAGGGCACTCAGTAACTCTTTATAAAGACCCTATTGAGCCAGGAGTATGTGTGTTCTTCATGAGATTTCAGATGGAGCGCTACGGCGCGTAGCTGCACTGTCTAGCCACACGGAGCATTCACAGTGAGGTACTCCTAGGATCAAGTGCGAACCTACACCATTGCGTCTTTTTGCACCGCGCTAACGCTACGCTGCAGCTGATGGATATACAAACCGGCAAGCCAATAAGCCATGCAGTTTCTTGATCAATTCGTGGTTAATATTACGTATAGCGAAGAGCTTCCAGGTGTAGCGTGGCCAGATACAGGACTCTTGATTTGATGGATATTGGGGTCCCCACAGCACTTTTGGAAAAATTCAGACCAGAGCATCAGGTAACACTGTGAGGGCCGATGGGTCGTTCTCTTACTTGGTCTTTACTGCCCTCTGCACACTCGGGAGACGGAAGGCCCCTCCTGCACCTTTTGGCGCTTGGCAAAAGAGCCCCTACCAAGACATTGTGGCCTAGAGAGGGCACAGACAACGCTCTACACTGCCATGCCTGGCAAAGGGAACTGGTGGCGGCTATCTTAGTAGGAGACATTTTGAAAACAGCCTATCCTACCGCCCACTGAGCGCACGTGTGGCATTAAAGAGCCTCATCGTGCTTCACAGGGAAAGCGAGTGACTATCAGGAGACTTGTCATTGTCATACAACAATTCACTGGAATGTAATTGGTAGCAATCTTCTTTCATTGCCTGGTAAACGCGGAGGATAAAACTTTCACGCCTCATTCAGTCGATGCGCACCAGTTGCCTATGGTACGCACATCATTGCTATTTAATTGAAGCCAACGAAAGCCGATTTCTGATCGCCCCCACCAGTGAACTGGCCTCGTTTGCAGATTGGCAGCAAGAAAAGTAGGCAGACTACCTGCCAGCCCCAATATACTACATCCTTGGGTAGCTCAGCCTTCGCGCCTGTGTCTCCTGTGATTTATTAGGCTAGTTGCTCCTTCCAATACACGTGCGTCTCTAGTGGGTTTCTGCTTGCAAGGTCGGTCGCCAGCACTACAACGCAGGGACTGCAGCCCATAAAAATTGTCAGTACACGCTGCCTTGCCCCTTTCAAAGCCCTTTAGAGTCATGTTCCCACCAATAGTGCTGCGTCCGCGAGTGCCTCCCACTTAATGCCCTTCTTCATTTATCCCGTCGAGTGCCGTTGACAAAAGAAACCCTTTCGTTCGGTCTCCTCCATGTGGACCTCGAGCTGCTACCAAAAAGCATTAGCTTTCATGCTTAGAAAGCCCCCAAGGCCGGGAGAAACCCCAGCACGCATGGGGGAGTAAGCGCGGAAGGGAGACGAAGCGTGCACCTGCCCCTCCTGAGGAGTGTCAGCTCCTTGGATTTTTTGCAACTTCCACCATTACACGGGCTGTGCTAGAGTGAGAGGAAATAGGCGCATGTGAATAGGAGAGACACACTCCTTGGAAGGAAAAGTATGGTCATCTGGACCTACAGCCTAGCTTGGATTCAGCGATATTGGTGAGAGAGAAGCATCTGATGAAGCACGTGCCAGCGGCGCTTCGCCCCAAGAAGCCGTATCAACCAACTGGGTGTGGCTCTGGTGGAATGGGCCATATAGCTACCTCTTGGTAAACGCCTAGCACACAAGCACAGGCGTACCCAGGTGGGCATGCCCGGCCTTATTCGTGGCGCTGTACGGATACATGGAAGGTTGGCTGAACCATTAGTAAAGAGCCGCCTTCAGCCCTTACTTGGCTTCGCGAATCGTAAGGACCCTCGAGATACCCAATGTCACGGGAGGGGTTGAAGGCAAATGACCCTCTGGCGGCATAAGGGCAATCCGGAAGGCCGTTAAGCTTGAGGGAACCCCCTTGGATAATGCCGAGCCTCCATTGCACGCACCTAAAATCTCATTGGTGCCTATTAAGGGGGCATTCCGAGAAACCACAAAGGCGGGGACCTATGCGACTCTAGTGTAACACCTGTCTGTCCTGGCCTGCAGTATCGGGCACGGTTAACGCAGGCCACTCACTGAAGAATAGGACGACGAAGGACCCCTTAGCGCGGAACGTGGGTTTTAACACCGTATAGAGAGAGGGGTGCTCGTTAACACAATCCAACGCTCAGTCTCTGCAGCGTGCAAGATGCCTCGGGTTGAGGCCACGGTAGCTCCTCAGCCGCCTCCCGATACCGCCTTCCTGAATCTGGCGCACAGCATCCCCTGTTTCGTTTATTTAATTGATTCTACTTTATTCCGGTGCCATGATACGCTTTTGTACGGCCGGGAGTGTTGATGTGTACAACCCCTCTCCCGACGGCACCCCGCGATTTCCCGGGTGGCTGTCTCAGGGACCGCCGAGCACTTTCGTTTCTTTCCGTTGCTGGTCTCTAGAAATCCGCCACTGCCTTTGCCCCTCGTGCTAGAGAGGTCTTTTATGCGGGGGCATTAAGAGGCATCCTGGGTGCCGGCGGAGTTGAGCCTTGTAGGGCACCTCCTCGCTCTGCGCGCATTCCAGGGCGTCGGTACAGCGGATAGAGGCCTCCTACAAATCGAGTTGCCGCGAGCTGTGGCATGCAGCTTCACACTCTGTAGCTTCTGGACAGCGCTCTAGGCTGCTGAGCAGTCTTCGCAGCCACTTGGACACCCCTGTCTACTAGCATCGGAATTTCCCACAAACTCCCGTAGCCTTGCACTTCCCTCTGGCGAACGACCTTTTGTGCGTCTTTGGCGTACTGCCGGCCGTGCACATAGCCACCGGCGGCAACACGTCATGACCTCTGGCCCCGAAAGACGCAACGCAAATGACCTTAACTGCTCATGCGAAAGGAGGGTTTCCCCTGGGGAAGGGAAGCGCAACTGCAGGCTCAGCTTGTGCAGGGGCTCAGTGCAGCACCTTGTTGCGTATTTCAGAAAAGCGCGTGCAAGACGGCGGCTCCCGAGTCAGGCATAGAGGCGCAGAGATCCATGTGTCATCATCTTCCGGGATGCGGAGGGGGCGACGCCATGCGCCTTTCTCTGCGCAACTGGGAATGGGGTTTGCGTCAGTGTGTCTTTTATTCTTACTCGCAACAGCGCTGTGCGCCACGTGCGACTTCGCTTTCGAGGATACGGAGATCCCCCAAATCGCCACAGCGACCCTACCGCTGCCCAGGCCGTCTGCCGCCACGGCCTGCGCACTGCAGCACCTGAAGCAGCAGCAGCAGCTCCTTCTCGCTCTTGAGCAGCTGCATGCCTCCGCTAGCAGCCGACTCCTGCAGGATTCTGCCCTGACCGCTCTCCATGAGGCCATCAAATCGGCTGTCGTGGGCGAAAAGGTGCGTTGCTCGTACCAGCAGGCGCCCTCACGCGGTCTGTCCGTTTCCTGGACTGCCAGCTTCCCACTCTACCTCATAGCAGCAGAGGTGTCAAGTAAGGTCTTCTGCCGCTGCCGTATCCTCGGTGGCTCCCCCAAGCCTCCCCGTGGATAAGCTGCTCGTTGTCTGCACAGGTGGTGCGGCTTCTCAAGTTTGACCGCATTGCGAAGGTCACTGTGCAGCTGAAGCTAAGAAACACAGGGAAGTCTCCAGTTTCTGCTTTTTACTTCGTTCTGCCATATTCAGAAGCCACTCAGGTGAGGCTGCTGAAGCTCCTGAGCGACCCTAGGCGATGGGGAGCAGCACGTCAGCGCCCTCCCTTCCCTCCCCTCTCCCTCCCCTCCAAAACTGGCTAGCTCGCTGCTCAGAAGGCTGTTCGCATGCAACTAGTTGGCCGCTGGCGGGCGGTCTCTCTAGAGACTGTTCGCTGGCTTCCTTCAGGGCTTGCAGGCAGCTGGCGCATCCTGAACGTTCTGAAATGGAATTTTACACTGGATGGGAATCGGCGGCTGTGTCGCAGCTAGGGTGGGCAGGAGCCGCTACTTTGGAGGGCGTCCACCTCCCCGTGGAATCCGTTTCGAAGGAGCGGCCAAGCATCAAGTCCTTCCTGCCGGCAGACTGGACGTCGAGGGCTCTCTTGATTGAGGATGTGGAACGCCACCTGGTGGCTGCTAGCGAGGGTCGTGCCGCCTTTAGCTCCCCCTGCTCTTCCCAGGTGTTCAGAGTTAAACTGGCAGAGCCCTTGGGAGCTTCCCAGGCTGTACAGGTGGCCATCTCATACCACCTTGGTAGGACAAGGCTCCCGTCTCGGAAGAGCGCAGCCTTACATTCCCCGAGCCCTCTGTAGCTGAAAGGTCCAGGCAGACCTCTGCTGCCGCAGATGGTGCTGAAGGGACGCAGGCAGGCAGGCAGGGAGGCAGGGAGGCAGACAGACAGGCGGGCCTAACGTGCAGACACGCCTCGGTTGAGACTCGTTGCCCTTGTAGGGGAAGGAGGGGAACGGAGAATGGCGGCAGGCGAAATGTCTTTAGAGGGGCGGCCTAAGGCATGCTCCTCCAGGCGCTACTTTTCTGGAGGTTTTAAGTTGGTGGCTCCCATGTTGGGTGTGATCACGCATGCTGCGACCCCTTTCGGTGGTGGTACTGCTTCGCTGCAGGACGGCCCTACCAGCCGCTGCCTCAGGCGGTCGACCTCGAGTTCATTCAGTCGGTCCTCTTCGCCACCTCCTCCAACTGGCCGCTTCCATATCCAGCGCTGCGCAGCTCTGTCGCCTTCCGGCTGCCCCCTCAGACGACTCTGGGAGAGGCAGGGGAAATGCGCATGCAAAAAGTGAGCCTCACAGGCTGATCGGGGGGGAGGGTGCAGCAAGGTGGGGCACATCCTAGGGGCTAGATGGTGTAAGAACCCCTGCGGACTCTCCTGGTACCAAGGCGATACGTAGCCGGCGGCAGTGTGCCGCGCGTTGCAAGTCTTTCTGGGCGCCAGCATGCGGTGCCTAACACCTACCAGAGCGCTGTAGGTGGGAATGAAGCGTGGTGTTGAGAGAGTAGCGTAGGTGCTGGGGAGTGTGGAAGGCTAGATTTGGGGAGATGGCAGGGCTTTCGCATTCTACAACTATATACAAAGCTTTGGCTGCCTCTTGTAGGGCTCGTAAGCACTGTAGCTTATGCGATAGCCTTGGGAGTCTTCCCCCAGCGAATGAAACGATCACCTCGGGGTGTGGGGGTGGGTGTGTATGTGCTTGCTGGCTGTGAGCTGTATGCATCTGGTGCTGCTTCCGGGTGCGCAGAAGGGATTTCGGAAGCTCGAAGACGGAGTGTGGGCCTGGGAATCCCAGGAGACTATCCCGCCGTTGGCGGTGGTGCAGCCGTTTGCTCTTTTGTTTCCCCTGCCGCTCCATCTGGGCTACGTGGTCTCCATGCAGCGGTTAGTCGTGGTTTCCGTGCAAGGTGCGATGGCAAATGAAGAGCTCTTTAAGATCCACAACGATGCGGCTTACCAGAAGGTAGGGCAGTGGGGGCACCGGCGCGCCTTGTTTCTTCAGTGCCTGTGCGTGTTGATCTAGTGGGCAGTTCGCAAGGCTGTATACGCGTAGGCAGCCTCTTAAGCGGCAGGAAGTGCCACGACGCTCAGGCGGGCCTGAAAGCCCAACATGTTGTACATACCTCTGTGCGCACCAGAGATTTAGGGGGGCCCCCCGTAGACCTCAAGTGCAGGCGACAGACAGACCACGGCATGCCTGCTGAGTTCGCTTGTTTCCACTTAGGAAGCTGAATAATCCGGCGTAAGGCTCTTGCTTGTTGGCTCAGGGCGCTTTCAATCCCATCAGCATCGCATTGCTTCAGGGGCTAGCCCCTGGCACACCCCGTCTAGCGCTAGCGCTTGAGGATGTGCCCCGAGGGAAGCGTGTCCCGAGCCACGTGCTGTTCGATCTGCATGCACATCTACCAGCGGATGTGTATAACCTGGACGTTGCTGACATCGCTGGCAACTTGACAAGCACCTTTGCAAGCCGTACGGTAGGCCCGAAAAATACTCCGCTTTCGACGCATCTCGAGGTGAGAGGCCACACGCAGAGTCTCGGTTATTTCCCTTTGCGGGTGGCAAGCCTGTGCATCCTTGCAGCCGTAAAGTCTGCCCTTGGGGACCCCTGCGGTGACACACGTGCTGCAGGGGGGCGCTCCTGTAGGTAACAGGGATAAAGGGTTCGTGTGTGCACGGGGCCGGGGGGACGGCCGGCGTAAAACGCAGTCCACTTCGTTGGAAGACCCCCTTTCTGGCGTCATCCTCTAGGGTCACCTCCACTTCGCTCCCAGTAACGCGGAGACGCAGGAAACGCTGTGGCTGCGCTGTGTTGCATCGCTGACTCTCAGAGGATGAATCAGCAGATGATTGACGCTAAGGGGGCGCTGCATGTGTGTGTCTGTGTGTATATGCGTCACATGCGTGGTCTGTGGGCCTCCGCAGGTCTGGCCGCGGTACCCCGTGCTCGGCGGGTGGAATTTCGATTTTGTGGTAAAGTACAACGTGCCTGCGAGCTCTATGCAACAGAATAGTCCGGGGAGCCAGACATTCTCGGTGCGCATCCCCCTCGAACCACCTTTTCCAGACGTCTACACCGAGGATCTCTCCCTCACGGTGGCTCTTCCTACAGGTAGGCGTAATGACCTTTCTGTCTTAACCGGCCGGCAGAGGATGCCTGCGGCACTGCCGAAATCGTTCGTTTTGCCGTTTCGTCCCACCACGCAGGTGCTACAAACGTCCGATACTCTTCCTCCATTCAGTTCGAGGCCGTCGAAGAAACACAGATAAAATGGTGGTTCGACGTGCTTACTACCCGCCCCGCGCTGACGGTGCGGTGGCACGCTCTCTCGGCCGCTCCCTCAGAGGGGGAGAAGCCCTTCCTCGTGGTGACCTATGACTATTTCTATCCGGCGAGCTTGGAGAATCTAAAGGAGCTCTTCGTGCTGGTGCTTGTTGCTGCTATCGCCATTGCGGCGTTCCTTCTCTACTCATGCAAATTCAGGTTCGCGCGGCTTGTAATGTAATCCGCTGGTAGGCTGCTGCATGCGATGCTGCGTATGATTCGGCTTCGCACTGTCGTGCAGCAGAGCGGTCAGGCTTCTGAAGGAGCAGTAGTGTGTGGTAGCGAGGGAGTGCGCATCAGCAAGGCACCCTGTTGATCATTTAATCTCTGCGCAGGTTCGGCACGTCAGAGGAGGATATGGCGGCTGCAGGCCAACAACGCGCCTGTGAGCATCTTGTCACGGATCTGGGACGTATAGCTGAGCAGGCTCTCCGCGCCGGCCGTAAGCATCTGCGCGCCACCCAGAGGCATGGAATACTACAGCTCAGAGACATGCATGTTAGGCGTACTATCTCTGCCGTGGCAACTGGGGCTCTCTCCCTCGGCTTTTCTCCCCGTAACAATTTGACGTTATCCGCCCTAAACCGTTTGGTACTGAGCACATCGCTTTTCATACGAAAAGGTAGTCACTGTCTTTTAATGCTGCCCCTGTACACGGCACCTTGTTTCCTGCGAGCGCAGAGGAGTACATTGATCGAATGGCGGTCGGCCGGGCAAAGCACCGGGGTGAATTGATCCACAGGGACCCCAGTGGAGCAGAAGAGTGGAGAAAAGCACACTACAGCCGCGAAGCAGCCGCTTCTGCTATATTAGAGACTGCTGCTCTGGCGGAGAGCTTCAAGGCCGGTTTCAAGAGCGCACTCTCGCGGCACCACAAGGCCGTACAGGCCCTTGTTACCGCCCAACCCGAGGTAAGCAAAGCACCACGTACCCCGTAACGCTCCGCGTCCTCCGCTTGTGGGCTTTCGGGCAGGTCGTTCTGCTTATTCTGCTTTGTCACAGTATGTCGCGCCATCTACTCAGGGGGCATGCTTTGAGCGGCGCATGCAATACGTTGGCATAAAAATTCACAGCGGAGCTCAGGCCCCTAGGTGTGCAGTTGGTAGTGGTGTGAGTTATGGTGGGAAACTTGGGGCTTATTGATGTGGGTCGTGTTCTCAGGGAAGAGGGCTACAAGAGGCGCAGCGGGAAGCAGAGTCAGCAGCAGAGCAGCTGCTTGCATACGCTGATCGGTGCAGCGCACTGCCGCCAAAAAAACCGTGCAACACTTAGTGGCACATTACAAGAAACCTTGTGAATACAGCGCGAGGCGACGGCTCCTTGGGGGCAGCCATATTTGACCGGCCACCGTCGGAGGGCCAGGCGGCGGCAACATGATGCACAGTGGCGCTCTCACGCGAGCCACAAGCAGTTCAGACAAAAGAAAAGCTTGGGCGGCATAGCCCAGCGACAAAACATGTATACACAGAGGGTTTCTCTGCCAAGGTCAAGCGGGCTTGTCCGTTTCAACGGGACCTACTGAATGGCATGTAGCGATACTCGCGCAATCGGTTCCCGCCAACTAGACTAACCAGGGTGCACTCCACGTACCACGCGGGTGCAGTGATATCCACCCAGCGCAGATGAGTGGCCAACACTCGGGAAGTTTGAGTGTCGCATTTTTCCCAGCGAGGAACTGCTCCCTGAATGCCCTCCTTTATACTGACGTAGGCGCCCGCCCGGGAGGTTCATAAACGCCGAAACGAAAATAATCGGGTGGAATAGCTAGCTACATTTTGCCTATGGTGGCAAAACAATGTCGACTGAAGTGCTCCCGCTTTACGGGTCCGTATGAGCCTCGAGGTCCTTGCAGAGTGCCTACAGCACTTTTAGCGCAAGAACTGCGCGGAATCGAGGCATTCTCATCGCCAACAGCTGGCCGTGGATTCTGAAAAACAAGAATAGCGCGTGCAGTGGAGAGTCAGACAGCCGCCGGCCTCGGTCATAGACGATGCGGTGCGTGTGTACGGTACGCACAGCAAAAGTCCAGTATGGCAAAGAACGCAATAGTATGCTTTAAAGCAGTGTGGTATCAACGCGAGAAGCAGGGCAAATCGGCAAATATCTCACTAGGATGGAGATCCTGGGATTTCACTGAACAGGCGCGGGTGATGCGCCTTGTGAAGGACTTCTAGATGGCGGCCTGCCGGCCACGTCATGAGTGTCCGCATCCGATGAGACCGCTGGGAGCCTCATTCTGTTATCACCACCCCACACAGGAGCAAGCAGCTGAGGGTCATGCACTGTGCCTCATTAAGAGTGGGGTGTACCAGGATCCAAGTTCCGGCGGTGCAGGGCAGGGATCGCAGCAGCTTACTCGGCGTTGACTGTGAAGTCTTTTGAGCAAAAGGACCTAGAAAATTCCTTTCCTGCTGCAGAGAGCCCTTCTGAAGGATGCGTGCAGGATTCGCTGGCCTCAGCTGCTGTCTGAGAAGCACGCAGTTGACTCGGCACGTGCGAGTGAGTGAGCTGGCTAGCTATCCATAACTACCTGGCTACGAACAGCCTGGAATGCTAAGGCCAGTCATGTCGGAAGAATTGGATTCGGAGGGCCGTAGCTAAATGGAGTTGATCTGGGAGGCGCACCTTGAGGGTTCTGATATACCGAAGGCAACACGCCTGATCCCGCGCGGCTGCTGTAATGCTACTCCACACCGAGGTCACCTCCTGCGGACCCATAGCAAAGGGGAAGAAAGCAGTCATTTTCGAGCTTGCTGCTTTGTTCGATGCAAATGTAGAGCTCGCTGATGCTCCTCTTGTGACTCGCTTGCAATACAGAAGAGATATTTTTTGGGTGGAGGGGGGCCTAAGAAAGACGCGTTCTTCACGGCAGGCCTCACTGTGTGCATGGCCTGAATGGCCGCAACCATCTCTCGTAGTTCTCGCAATTTATTGAGGGCGTGCGTCAGAGACTGGTCCCATTGAGACTCAGCCATGGCCCTAATGAGGCGCTGCTCTACAAATGCCAAGTCTTGACTCATCATGTAGAGCTGAAGAGAACGCACAACCACGCAGCAATCCACTGAGTAACCCTGCGGCGTTCAAACGCCAGTGTTGGCCCTGTATGAGGGGATGGACGCACCCTGTGTCCACTTGAGGCAATCGTGCCGTCCATTCCCGGACGCACACACGAACCCGTGGGGGGAAACCGCTTGTGGCCCGAGGCGCTGCATGACAAATATAGAATATAGGATATTTATGTGCATCCGTGGCTACACCACACCCTGCTGTTGGAGCTTGCGCAGAAGCAGTCACGCCAATTCTTAGCACATGTTTGGTGAGATGTACTTTGCTCAGTGCTGTGGACGAGCTGCACTTGAACGACGTACGCGGAGCAGCGCCGTGATTGCATCACCCTTTGCGTAGACACTCTCCTCAACCCGTTGAAATTAGATGCAGACCAACATGAAACAACTGGTGGCGTCTGGTTCAGCAATGGGCGGAGAGCGGTGGGGAACGAGGCTCGATTGTAAGGACGCCAGCCTGTAGGTGGGGTTTGTACACACGCACACACGAGAACGAGCCAGGAATGCAGGGCTTCACTAGCCCTTCCTGCCAGCCTACTTCTCCCAGTGGAAGCACAAAAACGTAAAACCCGGCTTACGGGGTTCATGAAGCTCGAGCTGGAATACGCGAATAGTGCGCAGTGGGCCGGCGACCACATGCTAGCTTGCTCTGAGGCAAGGATGTCTTGCTTATTTCCTGCGCTAGTTTCTTAAATTCCCTACTTACTATGATGCAAAACGTATATACCATCACGTAAAATTAATAAAAGAGAGTTTTCGGCTGACAAATACCTGTTTATTCAAGGCTCCCCGGGTGGGCGTCGCCAGCGGACGAGGAGGGCGAGCAGCTAAAAATCTGAGCGCTGCTTGCTGATTAGTCACTCACAACGAGCCAGTGTCAACGATCATGCATGAAAGCAAGAAAAAATCGGCGTCGGACCCGCCGCAAGGTCTCTTGACTACCAAGGGCCATCACTGGGGGTGAGAAGGCACGGTGGGGTTGGATCAGTGGGGCGGGGTAGACCACCACTGGCTGGCTCCCACTGAAGACTTACTTACCACCCATAGGTCCATTATAAATTTTATATTGCAATTATTTGTACCATAATCCCTCTGTTCCAAGACTTTCTTGTGGAGCTGCGTCGGGCTCATCACAAGGGAAGCAGATGCAATCCCAATCGGTCGCTTCCCTGTAGGTCGATAAACGGTGTTTTCGCAGTGCAGTTTGCACAGGTTACCGGCTCTTATTCAGTTGCCGAACTAACCACAGCCTACAATAGTGCTGTTCCCATACGGCATATGCTTCTTGCCGCTTTATGTAGGACGATGCTTCGGACGATCAGGAAAGCAAATGTCCGCCAAATGAGAAAGGAGACTACGTGGCACTTGCAGGAATACTCACGCTTTGAACACCACGAATTGTGGTAATAAAAGAGCATTAAGAAGGCGAGTGCCAGCAGGATCACAGGAGATGATCAAGGGCAAGGCACTGTTTGAAGGTGTCCTTGAACCTATTACACTTGGGCTATTGATAGGCATAAGACCCCTCCGATGCGTCGTCGCATACTGACAAACACTCGGCTTTTCTTTGCCTCGGTCAATTGTTTGCATGCAGGCAACGCAGAAATCAACTTCGTCTGAACATTTTTTAGAGAGTAGAGCACCCTTGCCTGCATTCTAATGTTCCCCAAGTTACCGAATCCCTCTTCGGTTTTGAACAATAGAACAGCACTGCTTACAGGCACACATCAACTGCATCATCTCCGTAGGGCTTGCATAGTCACTGCACTTATGACTAACAACTCTGTGGGTCTACTGTATTTGTGGTAACTCCTATTTCAGTGTCTTCCCAAGTGGACTCCAAATTTCTCTAAACATAAGAAGAAACATAGAACGACTCTAATCAAAAGACTCCCCCAAGCCGTTGGCCTTACTTTAAATTATTAGGATTACGGAAAAAAAGTGAAGTCTGAGGACTGTAATTGCCAGCCATTGGCCTGTAGCAGTTTAGCGGAAAGTCTCACAGCACACTCTTACAGCGTGGATAAGACCTTGCCGTATAACAAATAATACACAATAATAGCACGGCTACAGATTTAAGGCTCAACTACTGCTGGAAACTGCTTCCAGAAGATTGAGAACTCTATACAGAACTCGGCCCTCTACGCCTCTACCGCTGTATACTGTTTTTAAAGCTCCTATTAAGAGCATCCGATTTTTTCAGGTGTAGCCTGCACGTTTAACAATTGCTTTCGTGCTACCTTGCGCGCTCATTATTCCCCATCACGAGTTTCTTGAGCGGAGAGTGCCGTTGACTTCAATAGCCCACTAAATACACAAACTCTTTCGAAAAAGTAATTGCTGGAAAGTTTAGCATAGGGCCTTTTGGAACTATCTTTTAAGTATTCTCACATCTCTTGATCGCACTCACAGGTCGAATTTGTCTGTTATTCATTTTATTCTGAAAGGCCATTAAATGCTTCACCCTCTCCTGAAATCATAACATTTATCTGCTATGCAACACTTGTGACTTCCTGGTTGATGCACCTTCCGCAGTAGAACACACTGGATGCCTCATACTTTTCACTTGGGCAACTAAGGGGGGTCAGCCTCGAGAGCACGTATGTGTAATTATACCTGATGATAGCTGCTTAAATTGCTGGCATCTTTTTCCTTCCAAACAGGTACTACACAAGAGCCAATAGACATGCGCATTTTGTAACCCATTTAGTGGGGCAGTTGCATATTTTGAGAAATCCCTAGGCCTATACGGCTCATAAACAGTCTTCATGGTAACTCTACTGATTATCTGATTGAAAATACGCCAGAAATAATAATGTTGTGCTCACCATTTAGGCGCCATGCATGCATTTGCCTCGCCGTGCAACTGGACCAAGAAACGAGTGGCTCCCACTTGCCCCCACTTGCCAAGGGTGCATTGACATAAATATTGCTAATGCTATATGTTGAGAACGTTGACTCGGGTGGGGTTTTGTTTGCCTAGCGGTCACCGATTGAATACACGACGAGGTTCTGTCTCTCTGTTTTTATCCTAGGGCAGGTATTGCTTTGTTCCTTTTGGGGGAGCCAAAGATGAAGCTCCTCAATTCTTCTTTATGTGTTGACTTTCCTCTATTCCAGGGCGAGAAACTTCTGCAGTTCTAGCTATACAATTGTGCCCTGATGATTAGAGCTAGAAAGAACAACCCCGGACGTCTCCCGGGAAGTACCAGAAACTGAGTCGTTATTGAGATAGAATTTCTGTCCCCATGCGAGCCTCTATGCATGAATCACTAGTCTATCCTCTTCCATGGCGCTGTACCATACACTCTGGAAAACGGGTCATCTCCACCAAACCACAACCCATCAGTTCAAAAGAATATTTGTGTTACAAAACCTGACATAAAACATACTACATTGCATTAAGTTAAAGATGTAGAATTATACTAATAATCGACCCTTTTTCGTACCTTCTTCATTGCATTCTTGCTTTGCACTCTGAGAAGGACGGCCTCTGCAGTAGTCCATACGATGAAATATCACATTAGAGATAAGCAACGGGATAGTGTATCTGCAAGAGGCTACTTATATACTACACCCTTGTCGATGCCACTCGAAACAGTCTGCTTTGTGCTATGCCCTTATGTGTTTGCTTAGTTCTTTGATGCCGCATGCAGGAACGACAGCCCATCACTGGCGAGTTCATGCCTCTAGAAAAGTTGGTATTGAATAAAGGGCGATGAACACAAGTCCCTGGCCTTCTGAGCTATATACAAAGAATGGAAATAATGCGTCGCTTAGTACTTTTATGACTTTTTCGAAATAGAACTCCTACAGAGGCGCAACACTCCCCTTGCATGGAGAGCTTCCCCACGCCCCCCCTCGCTTAAAACGCTTTTCTAAAAACAAGCGGAATAAGCAGGAGTGTCCTTCAAAGCAAAACATTGGAGTTTGTTCATATGTCTATTCGAGCCTGCAATTGCTCGTCAGTCTATTCAGTACCGCCTCCCACTGGTGTGACCTCAAAGCCCCCAGAGTAGCCTTGGAGCGTTCAGGGCATCTTAATGGTACGTCCTCTCTACCATGTTGCAGCGCCCAAAAGCTCTGAGCATTATGCTTCTGGCGAATCTCGCCGGATTTAAGGAGCAGTGTGCAAGCCGCCGGCGCCAACGATGCCTAGTGGCCTGGACCCCGGTGGCTGAGCAGGAACTAATAGTCGCGTCTTTTAATTCTTTCCACAGGTTCATTCTCGTCTTCATCTTCGCCGCTCATGGTTTCATGCCGATGCATCTGGACAACGCCCAACACAGACCGTTTGGCGTTGTTTGCCTTGCCTCAAACCTCTTAGAACTGCAGATCTTCACTGTGATTCTTAAGAACCGAGTGCAGCGTCTTGCAGCCAGTGTTTCGGGAGGCGATTGCACCGAGTCTGTCCATGGTGCCCTGTGTTTTCTTCTGTTCCTTTCAGGTGGTCGAGATACATAGGAGCCCTTCAGTACCATTTGCCCACGGAACACTCGCCAAACCGTTGAAGCCAAAAACTGGCTTACGAACAACAGGAAGATAGCTTATAAAGAACGAGGCAGACCTAAGACTTTGCCGTCGAACGAAATACTTAGCGGCGACGTCAAACTTGGCGGCGAGCCAATTCGCTCAACATCTAGGGGAGAGTGGTCACTGATTCACCATGGCCGTTCAGCCAGAAGAGCTCTGCAAAGGTGAGAAAGGCAGCGGAGTGTGAAAAGAAGGGAAGCTCGCATATGCTTGGCTCTTTTTCTTCAGACCGTTCAGTCAAGTACTACTGCTTGCCCCTGCTCCTGAGAGTTGCCACGGTTCTTCGTATGCCGAGTGGAATTTATCTCCTTACTAAGCAGGGGCATATGCATAGAGCCTGGCGTGCTTGGGACTCAGAAAACTTGCCTCTCCGGATGAATTCATTTAGTGGATACTCCATATGCTAGCAGAAAGCACAATCCATAAGTTTTTTTTTGTTTTTTTTGCCCTTCTTGTGTTCCCTCAGTGCTGGAGGGGACGTACAGCCCAAATGCCGAAGTCCGCGGGCAAGCAGAGGCTTTCCTTAAATCAGTAAGAAAAGTGAAATGCATGTATTTCTAAGAAAGATGCTTTAACTGAACACAAGCTTTTTTTGGTACGCTTGTGTCTGCCAGGTAGTAGCATATTATATGTACATGTATACAGATATATATGTATATATATATATATACGCATGCACAGGATCTTGTATATGTGGTTCAAAGCATTCACTGCATGTCTTTTCTGTATCGATTTCACTTACTGTGAGTAAAAGAATTTCACTTTTACGCTTCCTCAACCTTGAAGGCTTGGCCAGGGTGACGCTGTGTTTCCGTTGAACGCCAACACGCGACCCAACAAACCGAGAGTATCAAACACCAGCTGTGCCGAGCTACCCTGTGAACTCCGGCTACGACAGCCTGTTGTGCTTGCTATCCGCTTCGAACGGTAGTTTCGTGGGTTGTGCTGGGTTGATGCACAGATCTCCCCGACGGAGGGGCTGCTGAGCGCCTTGGTGCAGATCCTCAGACACGACCAGGTAGGCCCTGCCGTCTTATTCTGCGCCCTCATTATATTTCTCCCCCTTTTTTGCTCGTGTGCCACTTTTGGTGCCTCTTCGTAGAGCGTTAGCCATGCGAGCCGCAGCATACGAACCAATGCCCTTTTTGGGTCGTTGTGTTGTCCTTCGTGTGTTTTTTAGGTGGATCTGCCAGTTCGCACTGCGGCCTCGGTGACGCTAAAGAACGAAGTTCGACAGCACTGGGAATCGCGCTCGGCAGATGGAGATGAAGGGGTTTCCTCTTCAGGGGCGTCCGCCTCTCAGGCTGGTAGCACGGGAGTGTACGGCGAGGAGGAGAAGCAGATCCTTCGACAGAGTTTGTATCCCATGGTTAAGGAGCTTGGTGGGCAGGCCGCCCCCGTCAGACTCCAACTGATTGAATGCATTCGGATCATTGCGCTGCAGGATTACCCAGAAAGGTCAGCACCTGCTTTCCGCATTCGTGTCCAGTCTCCGCTGATGTGCTTTTATTGAATACATCTAACCCTCTATAACGGAAAAATCGCGGTCAGCAAGCGGCTATTGTGTTTTCCCTCCTGCAAAGCACCCCAGCAGGGCTGCACAATTTTGCTCCTGTTCGCTATGCGTTGGCTTTTGCCAGGTGGCCTACGATCCTGGACGAGGTTTGCGCGGACTTAGGTCCTTCAAATGACGCATGCCGCCTCTTCAGCTCCTTGAGTGTGCTAAGGAAGCTGGTGGGAGCGTATGAATTCAAGGGCAGAGACAGCCGCAAGGCCCTAGATGGCATAATAGACAGAACGTGGCCTTGCCTTCTGCCCACTGCGGCAAGACTAATCAAGGAAGGTGGCCCCGAGAACTTAGAGGCCATGACCCTCTTCAAGCTCGCCCTCAAGATCTACTGGTCCTGCACGCAGCTATGTCTTTCAAACTCTCCTCTCGTCGTCTCCACAATGGATACTTGGTTTGAGCTCCTTTCCACGTGCATCAAGCTCCCTGGTACACCAACCACGCACGCCATAGCTCTGATCAACAAAAGTAGTAGCTGGGTTCCTATGGGTGCACTGGTACTTCTGCACTCTATTTAGATGTCGGTTTGTGTGTGTGTGTGTGTGTGTGTGTGTGTGTGTCATCTCTTCCACTAATGGCGATATGCTTGCCGGTGCTGTCGATCCTGAACTGCTGGTGCAACAGTTCCTGCGTCCCTTTTGGCAAATTTGTCTACCGAGGAGCGCAGTCAGCTGCCCGTCTACAAGGCGAAGAAATGGGCTCTACAGATCGTTCAACGCGTGTTTACGCGCTTTGGAGATCCAAAAATGCTAAAGAGGGAAAGGTCGGGACCAGTGAAAGAAGGGCATGAAGTTGCCAAGGCGTTTGGAACACATTTCATCGACACCTGGTCGCGGCGGCTTACGGAGGAGCTGCTGGTGATACTGCAGCACCATGCACAGCAGCAGCAGCTGGAGGCTTGGATGTCTCCTCGGATGCTGAATCTCGCATTACAGTATCTTTCACGTGCTGTCGAGTGCGCGGCTCTGTATACCCCAGTCATTAAACCTCACGGGGTCTTCCTTGTCTTCCAGGTCTGCCTTCCTCTTATGCATTATTCCCAGGACGACGCAGAAACCTGGGAGACAGAGCCAGTAGAATTCATCAGGAGGCAAAGCGACCCCCTTGAGGCCTTTTCTCAACCTCGTGAAGCCGGTAATAGCAAAATGACAGCTTTCTGCTGTGCTTTCCTGCCTTCTCCTCCCGCACTACATTTCTTCCTAATTTCTGCTGTGTTTGTAACCCTTTCCGCCATTTGTGATCCTTTTGTCTCATTGATCTGCCATTGTTGGAACTTTGAGGGCGTCACTCCAATGATATGCATGCTGAAAAGCTTTGTCATCGTGCCTTTGTTAGAGGACCACGCTATGGACTTCTCTTCCGTCTGCAGATCGTGTACATTAGCGCGTATACATGGACATATTGGTGCATGCACAAGGATTGTGCATCATGAATTACATGCTTGACGTTCTAGGCAGCACCGTTCTGCTTGGTCTTATAGAAAAATAGCGCCGGTTTTCGTAATATTGATTGTGCGGTGTACATGTGGCGGCGGGCTTCCTGCCGTGTGCTTTCGAAAGTGGCATGTCCGTCGATACACAGTGCTACTCTCTGATGTCGCTCTATTGTGCTGTTTTCAGCAATCGAATTTATAAAAAGTTTGGTTCGGTATCGCTCCAAGGACTTCCTGGAGCCAATGTACATGGCGGTGCACAGGGTATGTGCTGAATACCAGCAGGCTGTGCAGTCTAGATCTCTCACAGAAGACATGTTTAGGGCAAAGGATGGAGCACTGATGTTGGCTGGAGCCGTGTGCGATCGATTGACCTCCAAAAAGCGACAAGCCCCGATCGAGGGGATGCTGTCTAGCTTCGTCTTGCCTGACTTGGGTTCTCCGAATAAGTTTCTGCGCATGAGGGCGTGCTGGGTATATGAGGTGTTTCTAGAGAGGGTCAACACCTGGCACGAGCCGGCGGCAGTTGTGGAAGCGTATAACCGGATGCTTGCACTCTTGGGTGACCCCGAGCTGCCTGTAAGAGTGCAGGCAGGTGTGTCTATAAAGGCGTTTTTTGATTTGGATCTGCCGGAGCTGCAACAGGTCATCGTGCCCAATTTGAAGTGGCTAGCTGAGCGGCTGTTTGTTCTCATGCAAGATATCGATCACGACCAACTGGTTACCACGCTAGAACAGCTTGTGGCCTCCAATGAGCAACACATTGCACCGCTAGCTAAAGACCTCACTGCAGCGCTAGCTACCGCGCTACTTGCCATGTTGAACAGAGAGGGTGCAGCACAACGGAACAAAGACGAGGACGCAGAAGACGATGCCGCCTTCGCGTCCATCGCCGTCATGAGTACTCTCAAGACGTAAGCCCGTATTTGCTTGAGATTGAATCGCTTTTGGCCGTTGCTTCTTCACTACTCGATTTTGGACGTGTCTGACCTTCTACGGACGAGGGCGTTGCGCGAAATGCAACCGCTTTCCAGCATAGTTGCGCTGCCTTCGTTCCCTGCCTCGCTCAATGTGCAGTGGCTCTCAAGGGCCTTTAATGGAATGGTTGGGCAGCTCCTGTGAGCATAGATGCGCAGCGTTATCCGAATGAAACTTCTGAATCTCATCTATCGCAGCAAGAAAAAAAAGGAGGGGGGCGGGAACAGTGGATCTGCTTTGTGGACCGTGTTGGATTTTCAGGGTGTTGGGTGCAGTGACTGAGACCCCGCACGTCTATTCTGAGATTCTTCCGGATCTCTTGCCAGCTCTCGGTGTGTTGGTGTCCCCCGATGCCGTGGATCACTTCGAGGACACGCTGGAGATTCTTTCTTACTTCACCTTTTACCTGCCTGCTCCGTTCCCACCAAGTGTATGGGCGTTCTTCGGTGCCCTCTATCAAGCAGTCTGCGGGGGCTCAACTGCAAGTCGGCCGCTGCCTGAGGGCATGGAAAGTGGCTGGGCCACTGATCACTTAGAGCAAATGATGCCCGTTCTCGTGAATTTTATCTCAAGAGACCCTGACACTTTTGCAACAGGCATGACAGAGGCCAGCATTCCTTATCCTCAATGCATCTATCGCATGGCGCAGATCTGTGTTGAAGACAACGATGAGGCAAGCCAGCAGTCTCCACCGTCCATTGCTTCAGCCAGTGACCTCTTCGCGCGGCTCACGGATTTTGCTCCATAAAAAATGCTTTCGTTTTTGGTCTCGTTCTCCCCCCCCTTCTCTATTTTGAGTCATCGCTACCTTCAGGTCGAAGTAAAGAATTTTGAAGGGAGCAGCATATATATATATATATATATATATATATATATATATATATATATATATATATATATTTTAAGAGTTCCCCCTTCAAACCCCTCCTGTTGTCGGTTGGTGCTTGTCTGTAGGTGGAAGCGTGCACCGGGCTGCAGCTACTGTCTGCGCTGCTCGTGGGGTCTGCTACTAGGCGTTCCATCGACTCTCTGCTGGAGCCGTCTCTCCATCTCGTGTGGTCCTGGGTGCAGAAGGCGCAGCAAGAGGCTGAGGCCGTGGATAAAGCCACCAAGCGCGCCTTTATTCTATTTATTTCCTCCCTTCTGGTCTATGCCCTGGAGCCGTCCATTCAGCTCATGCAACAAAAACAAATTCTGGAGCCGATTCTCTCATTTGTATTCGAGAACGCCGGTATTGTCGAGGCGTAAGGCAGGAAAAGCGTGAATGTGTTTGAGTCCGCTTATTTCTGAAATTTCGGGGTGTATTCACGTAGATGCATGGAAGTAGAACCCGTCCAGATTTTTCCTGAATGCCGTGTGGCGGTGCCCTTCCGGTATTTGCGTTTTTGTGTGTGCGTTGTCCTTTCGTAGGTATGAACAGCGCAAGACGTTCGTGCTGGGTTTCGCACCTCTTTTGCGCTCAGTCGCGTCTGCGCCTGCTCAGTGGCCTCAGTGGTTGATGCAGAATGTCGAGGCTCTAGTGCCTATATTAGCGTCTCACGGAATCGCCTTACGAGGTTTGAGGGATAAGGCAGAGGATGGAGCGGCAGACAGCGACATTGGGTCGGATAATGACAGTGAACAGAGTTTAGACGACACACAAGATGCACAGCTGCACGCAGCAACGGAATCTATTTTACAAAAGCTTGAAGCGGAGTGGGATGATGAAGACGACGAAGACTGGGACGCTGATCTTGATGGGTAAGACTTCCAGTTGCACCAGAGCGAATGTACCACTAGTTGAGCAACAATGGGGATATTTTCAGGCCGACAAGAACACGTTACAGTGATGCTTTGAACGGAGCTGGTTTCCTGACGCAGTGACGATGCTGGTTTGAGATTCGAACCGTTAGAGTCGATAGACGAACTGAAAGTCTTGAGAGAAGCCCTTGCACTGTTGCCGCCGGAAGCCGCGCAAAAAGTGCAAACTGCACTTGGCCCCGAGGGGCTAGAAAAACTCGTAAGCTCAAAAAAAGGGGACGCCTTCATAGGTGCGGCTGCTGAAGTTCTTGTCCGTGAGTGCTGTTTATCGCGGGGGGTGACCTTTTTACAAGCGCTCTTATCGAGTTGTCCAGTCTTTCCCTGTGCGTCTTTTTTGCATCAGAATGCCGCTTTGACGGATCCTCCCCCTCTCCAACCTTCTCAGTAACATGGACAGCTCTCTTTCTAAAAGGCAAACCAGGCGGCAATCATTATTTGAGGGTCATACCCTTCAGCCGGTTCTCGGCCCCTCACGTCTGTCTTGGGGAAAAATATAGCGCGTACCAGCTGAGGAGCTTCCTAAAGGCCTGAGGAATGCGGGGGTGCCAGTTTGCTTGAATTTTATTTTCGATGTATACGTGTGCGTTCATTTCTCGGTATTTTGGTTCCCATCGACATGATACCGCGCATTTGTTATTCAACAGTACCAGTCTTTCCGCTCGAGTTCGGGCGTCAGTTTATGTCGAGAGTCTGCTTGGTTTTTGTATGAAAGAGCGCACATGCAGTTTCTGGAAGCACATTACGCAGCAACAAAAGTGCATTTTTTAAAAGCAAATAATATGCAGACCTGAGCTAAACGTAGCCCGACTAGGGCAGCCGGGCTTTTCGCGTGCCTAAATGCCCGATTCGTCATTGCACTCATTCGCTTACTCCTTCACCGAAGTAAGCACAGTAGGATAGTAACAGTTCAATAGCTTAAAGTGAGTGACTAAAAATATACAGCAGCAACGTCTGGGCGGGGAAAGTGACATGCCAGAAGAAGTGGTGCAAATGCAACTGGGTAATTACCTCGCGAGCACGGCGTACACCCAAATCATTGGTGCACTGCATGAAACCCAAAACGAAACATTTGGGTATAGAAATCTTCACTATTTGTATATAACTACAGTGGGGGCATGGTAAAGGTTTGCTATCACTGCTTGACGCTGCAAATCTGTTAGATCCTTCTTAAGGATCGCCTCAAGACCGACGCCTTCCGGGTGGACTGCTTCAAGCTCCCTTAGCTTCTCTTTAGTCTGCATCAACGCAGTTTGCAGCACATTGACACTTCCTTTTCCCATATTTGAGACATGCACTACATGCATTTAACTAACTGGCCTGGATTGGCTCCTGGGAAGCTATGAAGGCGATTTGTTTAGATACAGCAACTTTTCCAAGACTCCCCCCTTAACTACTTTACAAATGCTGACTATCAGATCGGGTGGTTAAATGGCTTTATACTAATTCATTCACTTACCCTTCGAACAAAATAATCTCGAAAGTTCAGGTTCTGGAAGCTTCGGGCGGCGCGGAGCATCTGGCGATAGACGTGAAATTTAGAGGGGGTGCAAGACATGGAGAAAGCCTTCACATGCTGGATCCCAGGGGCAAAGTTGGTTTTCCTCGAAATTGCGGAGACAGCGGTGGAAAGCGTTGTTAGGACTGTACCTGCCATTGAAGCGTGTAGTATGAGGAGAGCAACTGTATGTGCAGAAGAGCTGAAGGTAGAAACCGCTGCTCTTAGAAGTGTTGATATAGCGTAAAGTGTAAACCTTAATACATTTCTATGAGATCTAAGCGCGAGACGAACTTGCAGAGCAGTGCCGAGTAGGAAGGTAGCACGGAAGTTGGCGCTGCGTCCCACGGGGTATTGAGGACACGTATACTGCTGCTCTCGCGGCTACCGCGAAGAAACGAATTTAGGTAAGATTGAAGGAAAGAACACTGCTGGAACCAAAAAAACTGGAAAGTGAGCGGCTGTATGGAGCTCTAGCCCAACAGCCCCACACGGAGGAAGCTGGAAGCTGGCAGCACTCCAAATAGATTATGCTGCCATCTAAGTTGGGTGACGTTACTGCATTCACATGCTCGTCGATTATATGCATTATACGAGTGCTAATGGGGATGAAGGAACACACGGCGCGAATTTCACATCCACAACGTTGCCCCACCTTGCTCCCTCGTGAACGACCGAATTTCGTAAATTCCGATATGATTGTCCATTCACTCTGTGGCTTCTACATACGAACACTCAGCACGTTGCAGCGACTACAGCGAGAGTTGTAGCGCAACCACACCCATTACGCGCTAATGCGCGCCTTCGTACTTCCTCGGTGCAACAGATTGATAATCGAGGCATCCGCCTCACCCAGGAAGGGCCTTGCACCTCTGTAACTTCAGCAACCCAGAACTGGAAAGTACCCACATGTACGTATCTAGCTCCTATATCACTCTGCAAATAATACCGATTAAGGAAAACGGACTTGAAACAATGCTTATTTCCTAGACACAAGGGGTCTAATACATACGTTGTCCCTGTACACTTGCATAGTGAGCGGACTATCGGAACCCACTGTATATGGGAAGAAAAGGGCAAGCATCTGTTGATTTTTGCTCTCCAACTAGCTGGACTGATTGCTTTGATGCTTCTCTATAATGCGTTATGTATGAGGTCGTCACTACCAGAATAACCCAGAAACAATATATCCTCTTGCTTCATCTTTCACGCCACACAAAAGAACTACTTCAAAATCTTCACATATTCTGTTAGCATCCGGCACGGCTCTTGCCACGGCTACAGAACAGAACAAAAGAATTGTTTTTTACTTCCCCTCGCCTTGTTACCGCATCAGCCTGCTAACTACTGCGGAATATAGATATACCAGGAAATGACAGTCAGATGTGAGCAGAAACGACGAAAAGAGGTGCGGAAAGATGCATAGCTAAGACGCCTCGTCCGCTTCATCCTCTCCCTGGACTTGCCTAATGTAAAGGACGTTGTTGCAGCGAATTAGGACTTCCCCTAAGCTGCCCTTGAAGCTTCCATCTACCCATTCCTCGCTGTTTAGAAGATGGATGTTCATATACTCGTCAAACGACTTAAGGTATCCTGAGTCAGAGGAAACGCAAAGTACACCCAACAGACCAGCAGGAAACAGGTTTTGGGTGGTTGGCTGAATACGCACCAATACAAGACGATGCACGTACATCAGCAACGTTCCGTTAGAGCCTAGCAAGAAATAGGTACGCAAACTCCTCTAGATTCGTCTTACCCTTGTATTCCATGCCCCACTTAAGCTTCACCATAACCTGCTTTCCTGTGAGAGACGTGAGGAAGGGCTTGGGGTTAAGGGGAGCAAGCTGATAAGGAAAAGAACGCAGTCCAGACAGGACATATATGCTTCACCATTTCTTCGGTTTTACAACAGGCAATACAGGCGACTGATCTGTGGAAATCGCACTCTGGGCGGAGGACTCACCGACATTGTCTCGTGCAGATTGACGGGGATTTCGACGTTCTACCACCCCCAAATTCGTTTCTCTACGATATTTTCTTTACTTCGCGTTTGGACTTGCGGAATGGAAAGAGATACCATCAAAGCCCCTAGAGCGATGGTCTGATAAGCACGCGCCACTGAGCCCCTACCTCCAGCTTGCCCTTGAGACTCTCCGCGTGTAAGAAGGTATCAAAAGGAAGTATCAAGAGAGGCAGAGGAGCAAAAGAAACACCCAGAGTAGAAGAACGCAGGGCCTGTGCAACCTGGTCATGAGAGGTATTGCATGCATCCGCATCCAACAGAGGTGTAGCAGTGCTTGTAGGGGAGGAGCCCCGTGCATCCGGAATGTACTCCAGCAAAAGTTTTGAATGGAAGTAACTAAATTAAATGCCCCTTTCATCTTCGTTTGACAGACGGATGCAGCACAGCGCGGAGTAGCGCCTCGATAACGCCGCAAACCACTTCCATCCCTTGTGAGCAGCACCATTCCAGCTTGGCCCTTCTGCCCATTTTATTCATTTCCCGTGATCTGTCTCATATTTATTCTACACGAAAAGCATCAGCTGTTGCTGAGCTCCTGCTCTCTTCCTCGGGAAGCCCCAGCCACGCGTCGTCCTACAGATATGTGGTTAGAAACCGTTGATGTGGAATAGGACCAAGTCATTGCGCCTAGTGCACTTTCAGCGAGTTGCGCAGTGACTACGTGGTCATGCTCTGTTTCGACTGCTAAGTGGCACCGTGTTGCATATTTGGCAACGAGGGTGTCAGGTGGCCCTTATTCTTAAACTTAGTATTCTTTCTTATTTCTGTTGGTAATCTTCGCAATAAGAAGATATCTCGACATCTGATTCGTGGAAGTGCGCAGTTTTAAGGGTCTACGCATGTGATCAGCCTTGGTGTTGTGGCGTATGTTGGTTTCACACTATTGGAGCTGCTCGTATACACTAATGTGACACTTCCCGATTTCCTGGTGATACGAAGGTGTGTTTGTATGTGTATGCTTGTTGGAACTGCGATCAGCTTCTTCGTTTCTTCAGCGATGCATCCTGTTGGCGGTGGGGCCCTGTACTGGGGTCTGCGCAACTTTATTCAGACTGCTCGGCATCGCTGCGTACGCTACGGGCGGCTGATGGACATGAACTGGGACTTTGCGCGTGCGTCTATGAACGGAACACCTAAATTTTCATATGATCCGTCGGTAAACGAATGGAGGCACTCTGTTGACAACGAGCACTGGACTGGAGCAGGAGGAATGATATGGTCCGACATCTCCATGAACTTTATTTGGTGGTCATTCTGGGCGTTCTGGGTATATTTTACGATTGCGAGGTGGCACGTTAACGGAAAGATGGACACTTTTTCCAAATGGAAAAATACGGAGTAATAGGACAAGGAAGCAGCATCGGTGGCACGGGGAGGACTCGGCAGAGCACTCTGCTTGGTTCTACCTATTCGGTGTCAAGGCCCATGGAGGTCCGTCATCTGTTGCTTCGTCTGCACGTTAGCACTGATGCATTTGCAGCCGTTTCTCTGCTCTGTGTTCATGGTGTAGCACGTGTTTTTGATCAAAACTCCGTACTTGCGCTGAAGGGCCATTGCAGGCCAACAAAGACGGCAGGGCAGTGGCCAGAAGGCTGCGCCCCACATGGAACCTGAAGTGTTGCGCCTAACGCGAATCGTTATCACTTGGGGGCCCATGGGGACCATGATACCCTGTAGAATACAGTCAGCAGGTGCGGCATTGCCCCACCAATGACGCTTTCTTGAAGACGTCCAGTGTACGTCAGAAGTGGCTCGGACGTCTATAGGTTGCGGGTACAGTTCTTTTTGCCGGTAGGGGTGAACCTGAAATAGTTGTTTCGGCATTAATTCTAGTAATGACGGTGGAAGGCAGCTCAAGTCGTTGGGGTCACCGTGGTGTCAACAGATCAGCGAAACAACTGCCTTCAAGGCTTGATTACTCGGAGCAGCGGTCAGATATATGGCTGTGAGGCCGTTGAACATGACAAAAGGCACGCATTTTCAGTCTCAAAATGATGCTAAGAAGATTTAGACTCTTCAAGATGCAAGGCTGAGCACCACTGTCAGCAATGATCCCGGCTCCCGGAAAGGGGTACAGGTAGGCAGAGTATTTGCAAGAATCACCATTCCAAACGGAAGTTCAGCTAAAATGATGTACGGACGATATGAAGACTAAAAACATATAGGTCCATGGGACCCCCGTCAAGTGCTGCGTTTTCTTCAAAATGAACATTAGTTAGTAAAAGAGACGCTTCCCGGGTTCACCTTTACAGATATTTCTAGCAGGGGGGTTCACGTCTGCTGTTGACCGAGGAAATGGCTGATTCCAGAGTCTAATTGTCCCCTTCAGCGTTCCATACACTATCTCAGTAGGGAGACACTTCACTCCGAATAACAACTGTCAATGTAGCTTGCATTGTCCTTCCGAAAGACCCCCCTTTTTCCCTGCCCGCACGCCCTAGAGTTCCGGTATGTGGAAACGTGCAGGTGTGCCCTATTACAGGGAGTCTTTACAGCTAGTGGCAAATGGAGTATCCCACACACGCACACAGCATGACGTCGTATCGTATTGAGTGTATACAACTCTGCAATAAATAATATACATGAACGGGCGAGATAAATAATCAACTTTTTAGTTCCTCTAGTTTATACATCATCAATGGCGCCAAGAGAGCCGAAGTGTAGCTTTGCCCGATACACACTTGCAGCTTCTCTCATATAATGCTGCCGACAGCCCGGTACCTTTCCTGCAGCCTCTATTCACAGTATGCTGAAGGCGCAGGTAGACTCACAACTCACTTATTTCCACAGTCATGCAGGGCCACTAGTTTCTAATGCATGATGGTGTGTTGCTTTGCCGTGACCCACCCTCCGAAATACTTAATGGAACGCATGAGCTCGGTAGTTTCAAAATCACATTTGCAATACAGGAAGCGGACACAAGCCTTAGGTACCAGCTTTTTTGAAAATCGCAGTTTGCCTATCTTAAATTTGACTTGTCAGGGCTATGCATCTGCTAGTATGCCTGTCGAAAATATGCGCCTCTTTCCCTTCGCTACTACGTCGCCCCCTGTACACATCCACTACCAGCGTGAAGTCTTTGGCGAGATCCAGCTGACAATGCTCTAGTTTTACGCCCAGCAGCACCAGGAAGTGCCACTGCTCGTTCACAGTAATTTGTATTGGGCTTGCTCTGCCTCTACTCGAATATTTGTGCCCTCCGTAGCCGAGTTCCATGTGCCAATTATTTGTTCTCCTGTTTAGTCTCTTAAAATGCAACAATCACCCATCAATGCTTCTACATGAATTTTAGCATCGCTCTGTGTAAGCGAAGAGGTCGGCCAGCTATTATCACTTTTGGCAACAACCGAAGCCACGTAACATGCCTGAATGCGGCAACTGTCTCCAGCGTTTGCTCCAAATGAAAGACTGAAATACGTTTTAGTGGTCTTGTATACGGCGGGATATCACCAAAAGCCGCTGAGAGCACACGCCCTGAATCTGCACCGCTTGATGAAGCCCCGCTAAACATCGTATTCTGCTAGTTTCAGTTTGATTGCTTGCTGAAATATGCTGCAGCTTCCGTGTTGTTCTATTTCCACCTTCACTCATTTCCAGCAGTTCCACCTTTGCACATGTACATTTGATTTCGTGTTTTAGAGAATGCCGTTTTATGCTGAGGAAGCTGATTAGAGCCCTTTTACCAGTGTAAGTCGAAAGCATCTAAATGCAGTGTGTGCCCTTTCTACTGCACCGGAAACCAGCATTTCCTCACCCATGGCCGCGGGTATTCCTTGGTGCCTCACGGCATCATCTTAATGTACCATGGAATGAAGCACTCAAGTCCACACTAATAGCGGACAAAGCAGTCACACAACAGCCGAGCTATGCATCGCTCAGAACTGGTGCATTCATTGCTCTCTAGTTGATCTAAGCCTTGTTGGCCCGCGCGACAAAGGTTTTTCCGCCTTTGGGGCTACCAAAGGCTTCGCTTTTTCCCCTCTAATTCTTCCTAAAACCCATTGTCTCTCTATGAATCCCCTACACGGTGGGAATCCCGTTCTCGTTGCCCCGTTGGTTGGATCATCCTCAGAATTTTCACAGGCACGTTACTAGACTGAAAGGCTCAGCAACACCTTAAGATGACGCACCACAGCTATAGCAATAATGTGATGGCCCTCAAGGTGATAGCCGCTACTGAATGCAGTACTTTAGGCAACCGCAGTTTAATACAGCTGCAGATTCTAATAACCTGCATCTGTGGCTGATGATGACTCACCACAGCTATAGCAATAATGTGATGGCCCCCAAGATGATAGCCGCTACTGAATGCAGTAATTTAGGCAACCGCAGTTTAATACAGCTGCAGATTCTAATAACCTGCATCTGTGGCTGATGATGACTCACCACAGCTATAGCAATAATGTGATGGCCCCCAAGATGATAGCCGCTACTGAATGCAGTAATTTAGGCAACCGCAGTTTAATACAGCTGCAGATTCTAATAACCTGCATCTGTGGCGGAGGGTGGGTCTCAAGTAAATCGTGCTTGTTTCAGGACAGTATAAATTCCCAGCTAAACCTTACTGAAGCCCGCTGGGACACCTAAAGCCCATGCTAGCTAACTAGAGGCCACAAACCGCTTCTCTCACCTTGCATTTCTGTGTTCTCTCCCAGAGAAGGTAAGCCTCTGAGTGTGGAAATCTGTAGCCTTGACAGGGTGCAAAACTCTCAACCCTTCGAGCGAGTCTCGGTTGTGGGGCACTCAAGAACAAATTACTAGCACCTCTCTCTGGAAAAAATCGCCTCAAATTAATGGGGTCATAACCACACGCACAGCCTTTTGTCAATGGTGCAGTAGTGTGAATGGGGCTACAGAAGGCATAGCGTCTTACAAGGCCTAGGCGCCGTCAGTTTCACTTCTTAGGGATGCAGAGCAGGTAAATGTACAGCTACACAGCGCAAGATAGCTCGCTTTGTGCAAGCAGGCGTATAGAATACTCCCGGACTTCACCCTTTTGGAATGGGTTTGGGCATTCTGTTGGTTGTTGTCCTACGTCTACGATACTGGATAAAATCCCCTTGCAGCAGGGGGCTTTAAGAAAAACATTCATTCCCTGGAGTTCCTTCGGTTCCTTCGTTGTCCTCAAACTATTGTTGTGCTCTCCACGCATTGTCTTAGTCGTCCTCTTCGTGGTAGATTTACGGCAAAACTCGTGATGGGCAGCATGGATGCGTAACTTGGTCAAAAGTATAGGCACTCAAATCGCAATAGGGAAGATATCTAGCGTCGAGATCGTACGCACGCAAGAATGTTCATCTGCACTCGTACTAGAAAAAGAGGTGATTGAGGAGTCCATCTGAAGGTGGATGAGGAATTCAAATAGATATCATAATGACCTTTATTGGCACACCGATCGTTTCACAAGATCATACAATGAATGCAACAGAGCGTCGCCTTGTTTGCTCAAAGCCAACAGAAGTGTGCATTTATGGCAGAGCTAGCTCACTTCGTGTTTCATTGGTGCAAGGTATCAGAGCTCCTGATGGCAAGATATGAGAGGATCTAGGAGAACCTGTAGCGGGCTTCATTTCTTTAGGCATATTGCACCATATTGGTGATGGCCAGTTGCAGTTCTGTAGAGTGCTGACTTAATAGCTTGCTTGTTCATATTTATCACCTGCTCTAGCGTAGCATAAACCTCACAATTTAACAATGGCTGCTATGTAGCTGCCTTGCGTAGCATGCTACACATGTGTACTTTACACGCACAAGTTATATGCAACAAAGATTTTGTCAGGTATTGACCTAGTGTAGTGCTCTTTAGCTTATTATGTACTTAAGAGTAAATGTATCTTCATACCACAAAAGCGAACGGTGTTGGGTTTACGTTAAGCTTTTGCAGTCTCTGAGCACTAGTACTGTTTCGCATTACAAGGTATGCACGGTACCCTCTCTTTCCTTACGTCGAATCCCCTTGGATGAGGACAGTAAAAGGAAGTAGATCTTGTGACTGACGCTGAACTATTGCCCCTGGGTTTTATGTGGTTTGGTGGGCCAGGGGCGTTCTTTCAGAACTAAGTAGAACAACGCATCAGGACAGGCACAAAGCCTGCATCCAATCTCTGTGATGCTGCCTTACTCTGCAGCATAAAGAAGCTGCCAGATATAAGTCACTTACACACTTCGTGCTATACTGGCGCTACTTAATTCAGTTGAGCATTTACGTTGCATAGCATGGCCGGCTCAATTTCATATTCTTCCCATAAGTTTAAGCTAAACAGAACGGCCATATTTCTTTGCCTGCACTGCACATAGCTTCGGCCTGAGGGGCGAGGACAGCAAGGGAACACGCTGAAGAAC